ATTGCCTGCAAATTTCGTCAATCGCTTCAAAATCAGGGACTTAGCTGCTTGTTTTGACTAAACTTAGTAGAATTGATGTGAGCAGAGAAGTAAGCTCGAGTGTTGTTAAGCTTTTCTGCCACCCATTTCATGATTGCACTGAAGCTATGAGTAAATGAGAGCGGAGCTTTGAAGGCTCTGTGACCCACTCCAAGTCATGGTCCATTCAATGTTGTGCAATTCGAAATCACGTGAGTCACATATCGATTGATAGTGATGCTGAAAGAGGTGTGACAGGTTATCTCGACCTGTCAATCCGGGATGAGATACTTCCAGCATGACTTGGTCTTGACATGCTCGATGTTTCTCAGGCTCTGCCAATCACAGTACGCATTGGCAATTGCATTCTAGGTACCTACCTACGTCAAAAGATATGCACCGGTACGTGCGGTTCAGGTACTATCACGCATGAATTAATTTGCCCAAAGTACCAGTGCCGACATCGTCGGGTCCGTGACACCGTAACCCGCCGCTCGAGCGACTTCAAAGCGGTCTTCAAAGTCCGCCATGAACCGGGAAGGCGGTCGCTGCAAATGGTGATCGGCGTCACCACATGGATCACGGATCTTGGATCACCGTAAACTGTAGGATAATGATTGGACGCACGCTGTGTGCGCAAGCTTTGTGAGTATCTACCTAAGAACATAGGTACGTACCGCGGTACTTTTGTACGGTAATAACAGCTCACGAGCCGCTACACGGTACCATACCGGGCACAGGGTAAACAAGGACAGGCCGGTCCAGACTCTGGAGTCCGTACCCCTTTGATACGCGCGCACGAGCGCTGGCGCACTTGCAAAAGCGGCCAGGCTCACTGCCAATGATCCGATCGGCACAAGTCACTGCTATGCCTGCACGCGGGTACCTCATATCAAATTAGGGCTTCCCCATCTTCAGGCTGATCTCACGAGGTGTGTTTCAGGGACTTCAATGACATGGTCAGCAGCCGAGGACTGATAACAACACCTAGCCCCTACTAGGGGGCCCGTTGTGTCCAAGATGTCAAGATAGCTTGTCATTCAGCCTACAAGCTTTTGTAAAAAGTTCCAGAAGTAGCTGACAACTGACCAGATAATTTTCAAGCAAATCGACACCAAATCGATGCGAGTCTAAACGCATCAAAAGTGCATGGAGGGTACTCAAATGTTGCCAGGTTTCAAACGCGACTGTGCATCATATGTCCGGAGACCCCGGGCCTCATGGAACATTATTCTCAATTGTTCTAGAGAACCTTCCGAGAAACGGTTGGTCCAACGGATTCAGAACAGCCAGCATTGAGCATAACTTGAGCTGGCTAGCTGGGTGGCTTTGAGAGTGCCTGGCCAGGTCGATCACGCTGAGCATCCTGATAATTCGACTCGACCGTTTCTCAGCGGCGTGCGGCTGACAACGTTCTCGAATATGGTGTCAACAACTTTGCAGACGCAACATTCGCACTAGTAAAGACGACGTAGTTGCAGCCGATCCTACGCTTTAATCGGTTATTACAGAGCAGGGCCCACAAGACTCGGATTCTGTGTTTTGTCAAGATGCATGTGTATCATTTGTGACGTGCTTTTATCATTAACCAAACGTACGTGGTGATCGAGTGCATGGAATGAATCGTGTGCCAGGAAACCCGCTTTGCGGTCCCTTGTGTTAACGACCCCTCGGTCATCAAACACTCTTGTCCCTGAGCTGCCAAACGACATCTCACATCTGCCTGGGCAGAATCACTCTTATATATGGGGCCAGCTCGCCCACGCAAGCCAAGGCCGGAACCGCGCCGGCTTTGCAAGTCACCTACTGTGTAGCTCGGGCGTCCTTGGTACTTTCGGCCGAGCCGCAAACGCTTCCGCAGAGGCCCGAACGTTTGCCGGCCGCTTTCCTTGTTCCGTGACGGTGCTTCGGCGCACCTCGGAGTCCCCCCGTCTTTTGCCGCCCCGCTGCGCAGGCAAGTTTTCAACACTTTCTCTGTGAGCTCCTTGTCCGTTAGTCGCGCCGGAGGCCTTCGCTGAAGCCCCCGTAGCTTTGGTCCCTGACGCAAGGGCGGCGTCATTCCGCTCCGAAGCTCCGCATACCTGCACATTGAGCTAGCAATCTATGACCAACAGTGGCATGCGGTCCGACGGACACCGGTTTTACTTAATCATGATGGCGCTTAGACTCTGAACTCCCATTTTATTGAAGCAAACTGATGTCAGCAACTCAGAAGTTCTTCTGGTCAAGTGTGCAGCCCACGCTTCGAGTGTGGCCGGCTCGGCCGTCCGCCTTCTCACTTGACCGATTTACGGCAGACGCTGTAAACCGTGGTTGTTTGACCATGTTGTTTTTCGCACCTCTGAGTCCTGCCCCGATTTTCTGTACCCTTGCGCAATGAGGACGAAGTGCAACGAGGCGCTGCCGCTTGTTTCCCACAGCATCCACCCACCGAGTCGTTCGACTCGGTTCGAAATGCAAAAGAGCACAACTTCGTCCGGTTCGTGACCCTTTACGCTCCGGTCGCGTGCACATTTGGAAACCGTGTTCTCAACTACGCTTGTGCACGTTTGGAAATCAAGAATGCTGGCCGGGCTTGACGGAATCAACTCACGTTGGGGCTCAAGGGTTTCAGGTGGTGCTCAGTTTCTTGGCTTTGAGCGCCGCGCCCGCTCTCGCCGCCGAGTTCGACGCGGGAGACAGAGGGGGAGTGCCGCGCCGAGGCTGATTTGGTGGATCTTGGGTCGTTTACCTGTCGGGAAGACAATTGGTGTTAAGACTCCGGCGCAGGTAAAGCGCTTCGTATTTCGTTTCGCTTTAATGCTTTGTTGCATTGCAATTAGCCGGCGAGACTTGAGCAGCTGGGACGGAAATGCTTCGCGTTTTTCCAGGCACTTTGAAGGAACTAGAATATGCAAGCAAAACATGTGCGAGGCTTGGATGCACGGGTCGCCGTTAAGGCGGCCGCCGTGAAATGAATTGAAATACGAGAGAACTCTGCTCCATTCAGGCCGCTCTTCTTTTGGTTCTAAAATAGTCGACTGACGTGCTCTTCATTCTTAGGTCAGAACGGCGAAATCGCCATGATTGAAGTCACGGTTTCTCATGTCTTCAGCAATGAACGTATGGAAATTCTTTACATGACGGATTGTCTCTACTTAGAAGCTGAAAAGCCCTCACCCTGGCGGGCTCCAAAACCTCGCCGCCCGAGCTGTCGCCCGAATCGGACGTCTCGGCCGCGTCCGCGGCCCCGTGCATCTGCGTCAGCACGTGGCCAATCTGGCGCGCACACGTGGCGTCAGCGCCCTTTACGACCGCGCGCAGCAGCGCGGGGAGGTCCATCTCGCGCGCAGCTGCGCGGATCTCGGGCCGCGAGAGGAGGGAGTAGAGGGTACCGTTGACGAAGGTGCGTACCTGCAGAAGGAGCATCTATTCCATGTAGATCTTCATATCGGTCTGTTCGAACCTGAAAGTCTTCTATCAGGTCTCTTCCTGTGTGCATGTGCATCGACGAAGCACTAAGCGAGCTAAAGAGCACTAAAAATCCCGCTCTTCCTGAAATCGAGAAAGTGCAGACATGGGCGCGAAATCAGGGGCTCCAAATAGGGTCTGATTTCTCGCCGAATCAGAAGCAGAGTGCTACAAGAAACCGTCGTTCGCAAGCAGATTCCTTCTAAAAAGTCTCTGGTGAACATTCTGAGCCGTACTGAGCAGCTCGCCGACAGTTCTACCACACATGAGGTGCAGGCCGAATCCTCTGCAATTCCAAAACTTTTATCTCGCCCTTCATTCAGAATTTCTCGACAAGTGAACCATAATGCCAAACTCATCAGGTTTGAGAGACGATGAAAAACTTCGTGAGTCCCGATGGGCAGGGCAGAGCTCACTAGGGGATTGACTCAAGGGGCCTCCGCGAGATCCCAATCATTTCTTCGACTCACGTTCCGCTGCTTCCGGTACGGTGTATGGCTTCAGGATCTGGAAAAGATTCCCAAAATCAATACCTAGTTAGATCGGCTCACTTGTGGGCTGTCGCTCTCGAGCAGTTCCATCAGCGCCTCGAGGAGCTCCGCGGCCGCGGCCTCGCACGCGCGCTTCCCGGCCGCGCGCAGCGACAGCGTCATCAGCAGCGCGAGCGCGTGCTCGAGCCCGTACTCGTCGAGCGCGCCGCGCGCGCGCCCGCTGATAAGTGACGTCAGATCGACAACGATCTGGAGAGTTCCCCAATGAAGATACTTTACATTGAAATCAGGATATGTCGTGTAGATTTGGCAGGCCCAAACAGCTGTTGTCAGCCTGATTAGTCCTTTCATGAGTATCAGTCACAACGCACACGCGGTAGCAGGGCCGAACTGGTCGACTTTGATCGACACAATAATTTCGATGGGCACGAAAACTCTGCCCCTTCCTTAACAAACGTTTCCATTTGTGTCGGCGGCAATGTTTTGAGAGCTGGCAGCGTCTATCAAGTATCCCGGCGAAGTCCCTCAACCTTCATGGTGCTTCTGTATGATGCAAGCACATCGTCGGATCGACCTTCCAGAGGATCTAGATCGATCCCTTTTTCCTGTGACCAACTTCATGCCTACCAGTGATTTCAACTCGTGCTCGAACGAAGACGATCTTGAGCGGGCTTCAGCAAATCCGCAAGATAGAGATTGCACATGTCTTCGACCCGCAAGTCGCGACATGAGGCTCATAGACGTCTGAAGCATTTTAGTATCAGTCCTTCCAGAGTTTCTGACGCTTTCTGTCGGCATTCGTAACTAACATAAATACCACCCTAACAGCCTTTCCGCTGTTCCGCTCACCCCGTGCCGGATCATCAGCTTCTGGACGGAACGCCCTTCGCTCAGCTTCTGCAGGGCCTCCAAACCGTCGTGCAACGCTTCTGCCGCCTCCGGATCGGCGCACCCCAAGCGCGTTATCCGGACCAGGGTCTCAACAATGACCGCTTCATTCGTTAAGAGGTATCTGTGCGAAAAATCAAAGAAGTCGATTACGAACTGAGAAGGTCCAAACAACCCGCACGCCGGTAAAATCACCGATTCTGAAGTATTTTCTTTGATACGGAAGAGGACTTGCAGGGCAGTTCCGAGTCTACGGTCTTTCTGTTCCCGACAGGTAAGCTGACACTCCGATTAGATGTTGATAAGCTTCTGTAACTGCTAATAGGATCTTAATCTTCCAACTATTTAAGCGCGTCGCAAAAATAGAGCTGGATATCACAGAGTTGAAAGCCTGCCGTCTCCCATTATGCAGGCCTGATAGGAGGATGGAAACAAAGTAAGAGTCATCGATTCGTTCTGAATGTTCTTATCTGAGTTCTCAGTTCAAATCAGACCACCCTCTGAGCGCGGATGCGAATAGATTACCAGAAAGTTTGCACTTCGAAGTCGAGCTAGAAAGTCCTCTCACTTGTTGGAATTGCTACACAAAGTCCTGTACGAGTCTCCTCTCAGACTCAAACTCTGACTGTTCTTGTCATTCAACTTAAAAACTTATATTCGAACCAGAATTGGAGACGTTTGACGACCTGGGACGGAGGCGCGCTTGCGCATTTTGACGCACTCACCCTCGCCCAGACTCTTCGCTCGCGAGCACGTTGAGCGCGCGCGCAAGCGGCCGCGTAACGCCACCGCCGCGCTCCACGAGCAGCGCCAGCAGAGGCCGCTGCTGCTTCCGTCCGGTCAGGAAACAGAACGGATCGCCGCCGAGCGTTTCTTGAAAGGTCTTTGGCGAGCTAAGTAATCGCTTTGCGATGTCCTGCAAGTGGGCGGGAAAAATGAAAAATGACATTCAAGGTGCTGCAAATTTCGCTCGTCTAGTTTCTGGTGCTTGAAGAGATGAATGTTATCCTCAGTGTGGAAGCAGCGGCTTCCAATGTGCTGCTCGTACAAGACGGATCGCCAGACACTTCAGCCATAAAAATCGACATTGGCTGCCTCTTTTCTTCTGATGGTCGCCTTAAAATCGTCGAAGACGTACGGGCTTCTACTGAACATATTTTCAGGCCCTTCGCCGTTAGGATGGTCACGTCTAAGTTCCCCTAGAATTTGCGATTTCACTCCTTGTTTCTTCTCGTAAGATGGAATGCGCAGCAGACTTGAGCGAGAATACGTTGGATATGTGCAGAATTGGCGCGCGCGCCTCTTACCTGCAGCAGGGCGGCCACGTCCTGGTCGGACCCTCCGTAAAGAGTATGCCGGATCTTATCGTAGTCCATGGCAACATTAGCAACGCTGACGTCAGCACCTTCATTCACGTCGTCCTCGATGCTGTCTAGGGTCAGGTGGGTGCTTCGCCGGACCTAGGGCAAGAAAGAGACGCTTGTCTAGTTGCTCGGCAGAAGCAAAGGGGGAATGTGCCATTGAGTGCAACCGGCTTTCATCCTGGTACTGACACAAAGCACTTTTGCGTTAGACAAGAAACGACGATTTCGGGGGTGACATTTTCGTACTGGCTACAGTTCTTCTTCTCAGACAAAAGAGGATCACGCGCCCATACAGAACTACGTTGCGATACTCGACTCAAAACTTGCTTAGGCACGGAGCCTGTGTCACGAGGGATGCAACAAGCCAGAACCGTCAGTCGCCCTTCGCAAGATTAAGTCACCAAGACTAAGATGGTCGAGCAACTTGCAACTCACCACTTCGTGCGCATTGCACAGGGCCTGGAACGAGTCCCGCACGTCCTCCCCAACCCCCCCGAAGAGCTGCCCCGACCGCCCATCGAGCCTCAACGTTTCCGCAGAAGGCCCTGGTTGGAGTCCCTCGGTTGCCCCAAATCCCAACCGGGCGTCCGAAAGGTCCAATTGGGCGTCCGAACGATCCAACCGGGCGTCCGAGAGATTTAACCGGGCGTCCGAAAGGTCCATGCTCCGACTGCCCCGGTGGGCTCTCTGTGCGGACAGTTCGGAAGTCCGGGTGGCAGCGTCGGGGCGTCCGAGAGAGTTGGTCCGGCTCAGCTTCTTGGTTCGGCTGGGAGCGACCTGTAAGGAACATACTGGTCAGTAGATCCGAGAACGTTTTTATGGATCTTGGATATGTCTTCGAAGGGATGCAGAATACCTTTGGACGGTGTTGTGGGCGACAGAAGGCGTGTAATGAACGGCAAGATTCCATGCACGGCTGAGAATAACCTGAAAGGCAGGATTCAATGGATTCTCTATGGGATTGCAGATATTATTAGGGGGTTCTGAACAGTGTTTGAAGACATCCTGGGAGTGCCAGGTATGTATTGTGGGCGACAAAAGCGACCAAACCTCTTTGCAGGGACCAACGTCAAGACAAGATTCGCGGGCTAGCGTCATCAAAGTTGTGAATACGTGACAGCTTGTCAAACTTGTGCGCTTCGAGCGGTTGGACGAAACTGCTTGCTCGGGCTGAAAGCAATGACAAATGGGAACTGCACACACAAGCAGGTTTAATATGGAGAATCTTCAGAGGAGCACAAGAAGCCAGAAGTCGTGGAGAACTCCGAAACCTAAAGCTAATCTCCTTAACAATGACTTGGAACGAACTGGGTACAGCACTGTAGACAAGGAAGGGGTTCGGACCTTGGGGGACGGACTCCTGTCAATGGTCTCCTCGTCGCCCCTCAACTTCGCTCCCCCCTGTTCCGCAACTTTCATCAAATCTAAGCCCACTTGAATAAGAGGCATCTTCGGCGGCCGCTTGACATTTCCGGTCATCGGCCTTGACTCCGATCCCTCCCCCTCGCGCGGAGTAAACGCCAGGGACTGAGAAACGGACCCGGGCTTGCCTTGCCATCCACTCAGCCCCTGACCCCTTTCTATACTTGCATTCTGCCCCGTCCTCTGTTCGGATGAACCCGACAAAGCCGCCCGCCCGAATAAAGCGGCTGCGGACTCCACACTCATCGACGCACTAAGGGGCCGCTTAACAGTATTGTTGGCGGGCGACCCGTCACGATCTGCTCGTTCGTCCTGTCTGCTGAGAATAGAGTCCGTGCTCTGCCGCGCCACGTCAGCAGATGACGTCAGCAGATGACGCCGAGTTCGGGCGCTCAGCGGGCGGCCCGAGACGGGGAGCATCAGTCCCTGCTGCAACTGTTGCCCCGAAGAGAAGAAGCCGCCCCGGTCTTCTGCCACCATTTTGGCAACAATCCGTTGTCCCGTGAACCCATTCCCATCTTCGAGCAAATTTTTGCCACTCACAAGCGGCTTGACAGTCGGCTCCGCCGCGGAACCTTTCCGGGGGGGCTGATTAGCCCCGGCAAGTTGCCCTTCCTGGCCCCCCCGCTCCAGCTTTCTCAGCCAGTCTATCATGCTCCTGCGCGTCGAGGTTCTGACGTCACCCTGACTCCCCAAGCCGCCACTTTCCCCCGTTCCAACGTTGGCCCCACCAGAGAGCCCTTTCACACCAGCCTCTTCCCCTGGTGAAGCGCCCAGTGGAAAAGCGCCCATCGCATCTGCTTCCGCCAGCTCGAAGCTCGACGCAATCGCTGGGTCGCCAAATTCCTCTGCGAGTCGCGTGTGGAAATCGCGGTACATATCGTGGAGAAGTGGCGTCATCTTCGTGGGATCGCGGTAGTCGAGAAAAGCTTCCAGCTTCTGACGCAGGGCCTCGCGCCACTCCACAGTGAAGAGCTCCTGTGAACAGTGTCAGCCAATTGTGAGCCGAGTTTGCGAGAGTGAGATGCTTCGTTGTCTATCTGCTTGTCGAAAATTGGACCTTTGTGGGCCCTTTGGTGCTCAAACTGGATATTGTACAGCATAGTCGAGCACGGACATCAACTGAGGCTCAGAGATGGCTTATGGGACCTGGGAAGGATGCTTTGTGTCTGAAAGCTGGACCTAAATCGCTCCAGATCTGAGAAACGCTTACGGACATGATCCCTTATCACCAGTACAGGTTGGCAGCTACGAATGCCAGCAGGAGTTTGTTTGTAATGCAACGCGCCCCAACTCTTCATGGCAATCAAGCGCAACAGAAGGGAATGAACACAGCGCATTGCTTGTAATCACATATCTCGACCTTGTTCTGAGTCAGAACAGCACCACACCGACAATCCACTGCCCATGTTAACCAGTCTAACACGGCGCAGATGCTCCACTCACCTGAAAGAGTGGGTGCGACTGCGGCTCCGTCACGTGCGGCAGCGCAAAGTAATGCAACTGGTCTTTCTCCAGCGCCAGCTGTCCCCCGCTTTCCCCCAGAAAGCTCTCAAACCCTTCTTTTACCCCCCCATTTGTGGGCCCCCAGACTAGGAAGTACGAGTGCAGCTCCAGTCGCAGACTGAGCATTGCTTTGCTGCTGTCAGGGGGGGCATGCTCAGCCCAGAGAGTGAAGAACGAGGGGCCGTCCCCCGCTTTGAAAAACTGGAGAAAGGCGGTCTTGGCTTCGAAGGGGATGGCAAGAGTAGACGCGTTGGCGATGCGCTTGGTGTAGAACTCCTCCTCAAAGGACTGCAAGAGGGTCGTGGGTAGCAATCTCGACAACTTTCGTGAAATGAGCTCTGTACGGCCAGGTGACACTCACATCGAGAAGATACTCCAAGCTTTAGTTTGTAAATTGAGATGCCCCGTGCTGGGCAGAGTGTAGCCGAATGAGTATGCTTTCTTGCGCACACAAATTTCGATGATTATTTTATTGTTCTCTTTGCTCACTCTGGTCAAGGCTCTCCTTTCCGACCGTACTTATGCGCGCTGAAGTGTCTGGAGCTACACCCTGTCCGAAGGCAAACATATTCCTTGAGGATCAGGTGGTGGAAATAGTTGAGTAAGATTAGCCGCTACCATAACCAATCAAGGCATTGGATCTCACCACCGTCAAGAAAGAATCGAAACAGGTGATGCGAAGAGAGAGCTCATGAGGAAAAGATGGCTCGCCTTGAGAGTGGTTTGAAGCCCATGGTAAGCCAGGAACTCAGCAATGCAGCCCTTCAGCGCTCTGCAGACTTGCAGGTCGCTTAGAGTCTCCGCTGAATGGCCCATCTTTGATTACGGTAACTTAGAGCATTGCTGAAGTGGAGCTTGAAAGCTGAAGAGCTGCTAGCTGGTGACATAAGAACGTGAATGTGTAGGAATATCTCCTGTGAGATGGGCTGTTAATGGCAGGAAAAAAGAGCTCAACAAGGAAAGGTGTCAACTTGTGTGTCAGCAACTCAGCAACTCAGCTTTGAATATGAAAGCTGTTGTAATATCTAGCAAAGCGTATTCGGTATTCACCATACCCAGCTGATTCGACGGCCGCCCGCTTGTGGCAATGCTGCCTGAAGTTATCGCTTTTTGTCTGATCAATGAACTCTCGATCAGTTGTCTAATATCGACTCGTAGATGAGTCGAAAGGCGGGACACCTCAGTGCATGGGGCTCCCTTGAATCCAGCCCGCATGCAATCTTAACCTGCTCGGTGAGCTCACAAGATGAGAGCCCGGATGGACGTAAAGATCACCGGAAGTATGTCAATATGTCAGCTGTTGGAGTGGCTACAATTTGCACAATTCCGCTTGTTGAACTAAAGGGCAGACTCAAGCTTGTAAGAGTGTGAGCATAATTGCAAGTTCGAATGCAAAGCTTTGAAGCGTTGGCACATGCAGTGAAGCCTGCTTCATCAACGGTTTCACAGGGCTGCCTCCGACATTACCAGCGGTTGCTGTCGTCTTTGAAAGTTCCCCATCAACGGTTTCGAGAGCCTCTTGGACGCATCGAAAGGCTCTCGTTACAGCTCTTCAATCTGCGCGCACGCGCGCGAAACATTTCAAGTGACTCTGTTGGGCGGCAGGGAGCTTGTTCATTTCATTGAAATTTGTTTGGAGCTTTTATAAATCTAGCAACTGTAGCTGCAACAGAAGCAGCGCTTGGATACCTTTTAGTTGCACCTCTGCAGCAAGTGAAAAGGACGCCATTGTGTACTGATCCGCTTTAATAATCGCAATTAGCATTGCTCCAGCGCTTCTTGTCTGCCAACCTTTCCAGCGCCGATATCTGTTCCATCTGATTCTGGAGCTCTTGCAAACGTATAGCATCGATGGCTTCAACGCTAGCGCGCAGCCAGATCCAAGCCACATCGAGGATCTCTGTGGAAGGCAGCAGCCGCCATTGTTCGGGATCCGCCCCCTGCATTCGCAATGCAGTATTCAGGGGAGCTGGTCTGAGGCGCCACTCCGCATCGCCCCTCCAGCAATTCAACAAGCCAATCAGGAAAAGGGGAGGAGTAGCCTATAAGAACAGGGCCGGCTTCAGGGTTTCGGCGAGCGCAGAGAGGCCGGTGTGGCTACCCGGGACAGCGCCAGCAAAGCACCTGGATGGAACGTAGGAATGCCCTGCACATAGCTTGAATGTTTCCTTGTTTGATTGTTGCTTCTTGTAGAGGTGGCTGCCAAATTGTCTGTTGGTCTGTGACTGCGTTTGTAACAGCAATGTTGGTTCGATCACGAAGATGGATCTGATTTTAGAGTCCAGCTTGACTAGTGGCGGCCCTACATTTACTTATTACCTCAAGAAGAGGACTTTTTTAAGCAAGCTGCCATCAACAAGCTGCTCCCTCTGGTAAAGGTGGACGTGGATCGTTGGCCCTAAGGTGCAATGCGGTGTTCAGGAGTCAGGCTTTGGAAGCCAGGCACTTGCATTGTTCAGGTATTTGAAGTTAGGGTTTAGTTGCTTCGGTATGGTGCCATCAAACGATGCCACCTGATTCCGCTCACGCCTTCAATACGCACTGGCTTGGGGAAAACATCCGTCTGCACCAGCCTCGTCAAGAGATAGTTCACCACCGCACCATATTATGCTTGCTTCCGGCAATAAAGGCGGGTGCTCCCCTTCAGCACCTTTTGATCTTAGCATTCTCGGTTTCTGCTCCGCGACGACCAATCACCGATCACTTTCAAACAGTGTCCATGGCTACCACCTCACTGCAACATCTTCCATACCTTCTTTCCTGCTCTTTCTCAAAAGTTAACTCTTTTTCTCCAGGCGCCCTGGTGACTTTGGCTTCGACCCTCTTGGCCTAGGCACAGACCCGGCAGACCTGGCGTGGTACGTCCAGGCAGAGCTGGTGCATGCGCGCTTTGCGATGCTGGGAGCAGCAGGCATTCTGGGGCAAGAGGTGAGACGCTTTGCCACCAGATGGAGTGTTTTGTTCGCCTTTGTTGGTCCACTCAGCACATCGCGCAAGCCCAAGGCATACTATATTGTTCAGCATCGTCACCTCATCAATTGTGCCTTCAAGGCTCCAGAGTGCTTTCTGGCAACACAAACTTGGTGGTACCGGACCATGTCATCGTACCTCTCTGAAGCCTGCAAATGTTCTTGGCTACGTGCTAGTTCAAACCAGTTATGCTGCCCTGTTGTGGGCTCTTACTCCTGACACCCCATGAATTTTCTCAAGCATTGAAGCGGTGTCAAGTTTGGATTCGCCCTGGTTCTTCATGCTCAAGACCTCTCACAGACCCCTCCCCTTGAAGAAATCCAGACCCCCCGAGGCCATAACAGACGTGGCCAAGACTGGTTACGGAAACTCAACTTTAAACCGGGAATCTGCCTTAGCCTCTCTTGAACAACGACTGCTTGGCAGGTTAGAGGAAGTCTATAGAAAGACTGCAACTTTGTTTTGAATTGGGGCGATGGGCCTACCAATCAGCGGATAGCAGTTGCAAATGCTTAATGTGTCAAGATCTTTACAGCCGGCAACACTCAAACAAAACATCCCTTCTCGTGATGCCTCACGCACTCCCAGAAAGGAGTCCGTCAATGGCTTTCACCAGATGCGGTCCTGGCTGCCGACGGAAAATACTCGACTGGTTACAATCTGCTTTGTACTGGCTGCTTTTGTGCAGTTACTCAGAGCTTCTGGTCGGGACATCCCTGTCTGGTATGAGGCGGGCGCAGCCTCGTACTTCGCCCCCACCGGAACGCTCTTCTTGGTACAGCTGCTGTTGATGGGGTGAGCGCTGCATGTGACGAAATTCCACGCTGAGAACGGGGGGTGTGCCCGAGTTCTGTTTTGTACTGACTTTCCATCGCCTCAGCAAGTCGTGGAGGTGTTTCGTGTGGAACATGTGGAAGCCCAGGTCTGACATGCACTGGGTTGGTCAGATAGACCAGATGCGGAAAGTGGTCGTCGAGATGTTACCTGTCGTTGCGGTTGAGGCTGCTCTCAGTATCTGCTATCGATAAGTGAAGCAAAGTCCCGAGAGATCCTGAATGTTCAGGCAAAAGTCTCAAAAAGCGAAGACGTCGATACTTTGCAACCCCAACGATTTTGCTGTAGTTGCTGGTACTCAAACGCTTCTGACAAGCGAGGTGGGTTCGTCAACATACTTATCATCAACCTTTGAAGAGCATAAACGGCTGGAGAAATGTTGCTGAAACGGCCTAGATTGTCAGCGTGCTCAAGCAGAATCCATTCTCTGCAGATTCGTCGAAACAAAACGGTACTACGACTTCGTGAAACCGGGCTCCCAAAAAGACGCGTGGTTCTTCGGAATAGAGGCCACTCTTGAAGGCCTAGAGCCGGGTTATCCGGGTGGCCCGTTCTTCAATATTACTGGGCTCGGAACAGGCATCACTGCAAAAGACGACGTATTCCAGATGCGAACAAAGGAGTTGAAGAACGGTGAGCTGATTATTTGCTTGCGTCTTTCAGGTCTGTGTCAAAGTCTGATTCGAAGTCGGACTCTTCGCTTGCAATGCTGAGAGAGAATATCTCATCGATCGAGATGGAGCTCTCGCTGCCTGAGACGGTATTGCTTGAAAGACTTTGGTCTCAAACATCCCTCTTTCCCCCCAAGTATTTTGAGAAAGGCAGTAGGAACTTCATGTGTTCCTCTGTTCACGCTTCTCGACTTTGCAGCAAGCAAGCATTCATAGCTTCATCGTCGTTTGCCCGAAATGCTTCATTGGCAGTGACACAAATAAGCCGTGCATCGATCTTCAATTGCAAACGTCTATTTCTGCAGGGCGGCTAGCCATGGTAGCAGTTCTTGGCTTCATTGTGCAAGCCCTGGTGACAAAGACTGGGCCCATCGAGAACTTGGTGGACCATCTAGCAGATCCATTCCATGTGACTGTCGCCGAAACTTTGGGTAGAGCGGTATGATACTGCTCTTATTGCTTATTAAAAACATTTGTCTTAAGAACTTAGTGAATAGTTGCGCACAAGATTGGGTTTCTTGCAAAACAGTTCATGGTCGACTGGCCTCATGACTGTATATGCCCAACATCGCTTCTCAAGAACTTAACCGGCTGATTTGGAGCAACCAGCAGCGCTAGTACACGCGCATTGTCGCGTACGTGCGCACTATGATGGTCTGTCAACTTGGCAAACGGAATCCTGACGTACGATGTGATGTCGTTGCTCAATCCTCGTAGCATGGGTCGTTCAATGACCGGAAGGCCCATCATTAACTTTGACCGGACTCACTGGGTCAGGCCCCGCCCGGGCTCTGCGCCATGCGCCGGACCTGAGCTGGTCGCGGATAAAGACTCGTGTGCAGAGGATCGACGTGTCTACCGTCGTCGTGCTAAGCCATGCTCCAGGCTCCTGCATGAATTCACGACGGTATATACTGATTGAATACTACCTGGCATGCATACAGACTCAAATGCTCCGCTCAACTCATCTGACTTGCCGGTGCATGAGCGGACCGTGACTTATTGGTTGCTGCATGGAGCCGGCCCCTGAATTATACATCCGACGTACAGCTATTGAATAAAGTGCGGACCGCGAAGGCGTCTGCAGTGGCGGCCACGGTGTCCGGTCGGACTTCGAGTCCATTGATTATAGCCGCCACGACGGTCACTGAGTGCATGCATGATTGAATCCACGCATGTGCTGCATACTGGTCTGATAATCGATTGCACACTGACTGATTAAAACTATATTGAGTGCCCCCAGTTCTGGTACATGCGTCCTTGTGCGTCGCGGATCCATCGTAGGCCACGCGCCGTCCTGGCACATGCATGTGGAACTCGCGCACTCAGTTTGGCATGCTAGACCCTATAAAACCAGTGATGCTCGTTTGCATGAATCAAATATTCATCATTGTACGTCCCCTGAGTCCATTTTGGGCGGCAGCAAATGGAATGCCATCGAGTATGATACACGAGGTACGTCTATACCTTTGGTAGATTATCGGATCTCTCGATCTAGCTAGCGCATCATCATGTAAAGACATGGCGGCAGTGCTGGCCGGACTTCAAGTAGACTACGACGTCCAAATGAGATGTCCCCCGTCACTGAGCTCCGCTAGCGAGTTGCTTGGTTCGTGTGTGCGCATGATCGATGAACAACCGTTGAACATCTCCACTGCCATTCGATCCATACATTCCATGTAGATACAAGCTACTGGCATTGCCCAATCGCGTGCATCGCTTAAGAAGAGCTGTCCGTTTGGTTTTCCGCTTTTGAGTTTGCCTTATACGTGCCCATTGCGTAGACCGTCTCAAACTTGGGTTAAACCTTTCAACTTACTCCCCAGCCTTCCGACATTCTATGCCTTCATAAACGCCGCTTCCCTAGTCTGCCAGTGAAGTCTGACCTCTTCCCTAGAAGCCTCGCCATGTTAAGTTGCACCTTATCTCGTCATTCCATTTCTCGGTGCTCCCTGGTCGCCGGGCAAACCCGCGGACGGCGCCGTTCCCGGCTGCCCGAGTCGCCCAGCCGAAGCACCCGGGACATACGCCCCGTTTAAAGGCGGCTGCTGGGCTGCGGGAACGCGCGCCGCGGCCGCGTCGGCCGCGCTTCGTCCGTATGCTGAGCTACCCAAGGCGCTCATGAGCGAAGAAGCCGCCGTCGAAGGCGCGTAAGCGCCTGTGGGGTTGGGAGAAACCGCGGGGTTTGGAGCCGTTGGAGTCGTGTAAGACGAGCCCACTAAGGGAGGTCGGGAAGAGCTGAACGAAGGTCGGGACGAGAGGCTCGCGCCCGGTTGCGTGGTCTCAGGGGGCCCCGGTTGGGTTGAGAGGAAAGTACTCCCTGGCTGAGTGGGTGCCCGGGAATTCAGGGCTGTTGCGGAAGGTGGCGCCGGAACCGGAAGGGCGGAACCGGGGTGATTGCTAGACGAAGCTTGAGTCGGGTTTGGGTTTGGGTTTGGGTTTCGGTTGAGACTTTGGGTAAGGTTTGCCCCGGACGTAGAAGAAGGCAATTGCGAGGGACTACTGGCCCCGACTTCCGCCAACGGCCCCTCGTTCTTCGGCGCTCCGCTCGTCTCCACCGCTTCTGGTTCCGTCCGCTTCTGAAGCTCCCCGGAACCATATTGCGCCGGAAGTGCCTCGCTCACGGGCTGCGGCTTACGGATCGACCCAGATCGCTCTAACAATTTGGAACCGTTAGCACCCGCTTTCGGGTCCTCTTTGGCAGGGGATCCGCTCTTGGGGGCGCTTTCCGGTGCCAGCGCTCCGTTCCGTTTGTGACGCGTGGTCCGGCCGGTTGGTTGGATGCTTACTGACAGCACATTTCCTCTGCACAAAACAAACGCATCAGTGCATGGAAAGGGGGTACATGGCTTGCTTGCACTTATCTCTGTGTGACGTCGCCAGACTCATCGCAGATAGAGAGGAGCATCGTCTTGATTATAAAACCGGAATTTGAGGCTTCTCGAGTTGTCCCTCTTTAGCTTCATCACTCTCCATGCAGCGTACTTGACGCTCGTCTTTTCAAACTGAAAGATCACCTTTAGACCGCAATACAATCAGGGCTAGTGTCCTGCTTCTCACTTTCGCCCGGTGACAGTCAGCTGTTTGGCCAGGTGCGGTTCCGTTTCCCACAGCTTGTCCAGGAGGTGGATCCGCTGGGGCTTGCACAGGAACGTCAGAAGCAGCTCGCGGAGGATTCCGTCTGCAGGGGACGGAAAGCGGGCGGAACTTTTTTGGAGCAGGTTTGAACGGTACCAGAGCGATTCGCTTCGGTTTTTAGGATCAAAAGAATGTTGCAAGCGCGCTCATTCTCGATAATTAAACGAGACTTGAGATGCTGAGGGATCCACCTAGGAGATCATTTATGGGGGACATGGCTTGGCAAAGACGCGGGCAGATACAAGGGGTGCTCACAGAATATTGAAAGACAAAAAGCTTGACAGCCCGCAGGCTCGAACCGTTCGATCGTGCATTTCCAACGGCAACATTACCTACTTTCGGCAGGCGTCCAAAGTCTCGACATCGCGCTGGGTCAAGCTGGCAAGCCTTGAGCAGCGCTTCGCATCTCACCTTTCGAAGTAGAGACGTCTTCCAGGAAGTCAGCGGGCAGCGTGGCGGTGAGGCCGCTGTCAACGTTGCCGGCAAGAAGGACTTCGAATGAGGCTGGAGTGGCCTGCAAATCAAAACGACACAACTCTATAAGAAAGTGCTACGACATCATCACGAGAGGGTGAAAAATGATGGCTTTGAGATGGATGTATTAGTAAGAAGAGCCGCTTCCCTCTGATGACGAGGGATTCGACACAGCCTACGAGTGATTACAAGTCGTCTGCGACCTTAAGAAGCGAATTTGGACAAACCAATGCTGGCGCAACATGCTTCTCAGTACCCCTGTTGTTTAGCAGGGGCACGGAGCCAACTGAATTGGAGGACACCGGGAGGAGGAAGATATGAAGTTCTTTTTGGGCTTAAAAACTTTCGACCAGTATCCTCCATGAAGCGCTCCAAGGGCTCTAAGCAACATCAACTAAGGAGCAAGATCTAGTTGCCGCACTCGGTCCAAAATCGGCTGGTGATAGGAAAGCTGAAGCGGAGCCTACCTCGCTTGCTTTGAAATCCAGAGCAAGGACGTTTCCTGCCAACCCCGTCCCAAGCTGGCTGCAACCGGAGAGAATTGTCCCGGTCACCAGCTCGCGGAGGGATCTCTGCATTTCGGCACGGGACAAAAGCTCCCCGCCTCGACCGTGGCCCATCAAGAAAACGCCGCTTTGCCTGCACGGTTCACGGGGAGTAAGAAAGATGACGCAGCAAGAAAGCGCACGTACGGAGTCAACACCTTTTGTAGTAGAGGTCAACGCGATGCAGAAAGATGCAGGGAAACTGCAGATAAATTCGATGTTCTCGATCATCCGGCTCGCCATCCCGAACCAAACTTCTCACCTGATGCAGGCAGGCAGGGCCTTTACCAGGTGGCTGATCTGGGCCACCGCCTTGGCTTCTCGGACGGCCGAATCGTCCGCATGGTCCTGCGCTTCAAGCCTGGCAGGAAAAGACTAGTCAGAAAGGAAGCCCTAACAAAGATAGACAACGCGCTTCCAATGCAGGGTAAGTCCTCTTTCCAAGAGCGGTAGTGTTCTGATCTGGAAATCAGCAACAACGGTAGCGTCCGGAAAAGGATACCGGGTGAAGTTTCAAGCAGCCGATCATTGTCCCGCGAAAGACGCCTCAGGAAAGATTAAGACAAAGCCAGGGTCTTTCATTGCAGGCAGGATGCATGGATAGGATCTCTTCACGCCGCTGCTAATGCATTTTGTGTATTGCGGGCCTACAGAAAGCTGCGGGGACTCTATTTTGCGGATGCATCTGCATTCAACCGAACACAAAATCAGGGCTTCGATAAAAGCAGGGCTTGCTTCTCTCACCAGGCTTCGAGCGGCGAAGGACCGGACGGGTTCCGTGTCGATAAAGAAGGGGCGCGCTTTCCCGGGGCTTCCGCTTGGCGACCGGCAAGCACGACCAAGCAGCCCAAGTTGGCAAGTGTCTTGACGTATCTGTAAAAGGACGAGCGATCCATGCCCTTCAGAATCACTTCTGAGACTGGCTACGAACGACAGGACTAAACGTTGAAGAAGACGAAGCTGCATGACCTCTCTTACTTTATCCATTAAGACCTTCTTTTCCCCTCTTTAGGACACTCCTATTACTTTTGTAAATCATGGTGGAACTTAGCGCCGTTCCAATGCCCTTAAAATGTTCTAGTTCTTTGTGGAAGAATACAGTCTTTTTTTTATTTAAAGTCTTACCGCTCGTCAGCGCCATCGCTCGAGTCTCCTTCCGGCGTGTAGACGACACTCCCCCTGACCCCACATCCCCGGAAGGCCTTAAGCACTTCCAACGAGTTCGCTTTCCTGAGACTTGCCCCCCGCCACCGAGCTTGGATCTTCATCGCCGCTTTTATTGCGGTGTCGTTCTCTTTCTCGGGCTGATCTCGTCTCCCCTTGCGCTTCGTTCTGGAGAGCTCCAAGGCGGCGGCTTTGGACGCCTCAAATGCGGCCACGTGTTCCCGGAGCTCCCACAGCCGTCCGATCCAGGCGTCCGGTGAGGACGAGTCGTGATTGGTGGCGAGGTTGGGCGAGACGTGCGCGACCTGAAAGAAGGAGGCGCACGTAGCCAATCTTAGTCAACGAAACCCAAAAACTTATCCCGGCAGCCGTTTCTGTCGTGCGTGCACGCCGTGTCTGGGTCTCGTGCCGCATCCTTGTACGCATTTATCTTGCCCTACTTCGTAACTCATTCAACGCTGCCAAGGATGACTTAACGAGAGCGTTTGAGAATCTCGAGCAGCAAACGCGTCTGTGATCCAATATATCCAACTCGAAGATCCAAAAGAGGTTGTAATCAACTGTATTGCGCTTCACGACCTTCATTATGCTATAAGCCAAGCTCTCCAGTAGCGCCACGTTCCTCACCTCCAAGCAGCCTCTTGGGAGGACGACCACTGTGTTGTCCGTCAGGCTCGCTTTCTGACTCTGCGCCTGCTGCAGCCGCGCGATCACGCTGGAGGCCCTGTTCGCCGATGCGCTAGAGCTGAACACTAGAGACTCCCGTATGAGATTGATGAAAGGGTCCGCTTCCAGGGCCAGGTCGAGGGACGCGGTGGTAGCGGGCGTCGCGCTGCGGCGCGCGGCCGCGATGCGGAGGGCGTGCGCCTGGATGAAAGGAAGATGAGTTCGAACAGGTGCCACGGAAAGGTAAAGTAAGAGTGCCTTCATTTCGGAGAGGGATGTAGCTCTGAATTGTGGCTAGAGAAGGTTTTTGGAACTGAAAGTGGAAAAAGTCACAATGCTTCCCAGTCAGAAGGCTCTTAAAGCCTACTAGATATGATTGTAATCGTTTGATGAAAGTATTCGCTCGCCTCTTACCTGCTGCTCGAAGGCGTCCCGCTTCTTCAGCAGCACAACTGGGTCAGCTTCCTTGAGAGCTGCTTCAGCCAGGTCCCGAGCCTGCAGTGTGCAAGTGCAGTAAAGAAAAGGTTAAAGGTGGTAACTCATAAGGTCAGGATCTAGAAAAGCTGCCAAGAAAGCAGGGAAAGAATCTGAGGTTGAGTATAATGTCCGGGACTCAAGGGGGATACAGAAGTCATACACGTCAGGGTCTCCGCTTTTCCAAGAACAATCTCTGGCAAAAGATGATTGTTCTTCTATAGAACAATCTCCCGGAGCGTCAAGAATTGTTTCTACATAGAAGCGTACTCACCTTATTGACCTCGGTGACTGTGTCCTTCCACCGCGCCCTCTGTCGACCGATGATACTCGTCTTCTCACTTTCGCGCTGCACATCAAAGTGACACCTATGCGTATTGTGCTTGACAGCATGGAAAGACGCAAACGAAAGGCTTCTGGACATCCCCAATTGCGCACAGTATTCGATGGTAGCGGCTCAACGTCAGTGACTGACCGCGGGCTGACCGATCGTCAAAATGGCCAAGTCTCGAGTTCTCAACGTTCGGTGATAAGTCCAATCCAGACTTTATTTCTCTGTCTTTTCTTCCCTTACGACTGCAGCCCTTATAAGTTCAGATCTGTATGCCAAGTTCCAATTGATCTAACCAGCATGTCTTTGGAATCAAGACTGTGGCGGTTGCTGGCACGAACTTTTGATTATCGGAGCCACAAGAGCCGTATAAGCAGCCCTTACCTCGTCGACCTGAACCAGAAGCGCCGCCTCTCTCTCCGTAAGTACTGCTCTGAACGAGTCGCATGCAGTCCGCAGGTGTTCTCTAAGCTCCGCCCCGTTCTGCAGAAACGCAGAGAATGATTTGGAGGTGCTTCTCCATCATAGCATGTTTGCGTTCATTCTGGTGCAGTAATTAGCGAGAGCCGCTGGCAATTGTGTTATGGGACCTCATTATCGTCGGCCTTGAGATGAATCGAGAGATTGCACACAGGATGCTAAGCTTGTCAACACCAGCACTTTTGCCGAGTGGTCTGTATGCAGACGATCGTCAGTATGCAATAAACACTAATATTTTCCAACTTCCCTTACACAGCCTGCCCGAACAATCAGCAAAACAGCATGGCCCTGAGGCCTCCGAACTCCCTTAGACAAGGAAGCTTACGTAGGTTCCAAAGATATTTCCTGACCTTTGAGTTCCTGCTTGCAAGTCTTACCTTCTTCAACGACTCAGCCATCTCCTCCATTTCGTCCAAGAATGTGTCCACCTTCTGGCGCTCCAGAATAAGGTCCCCAGCTTCCTTGCGGATGGAGTCTCTTGCAGCTCGAACAGCTTTGTCAAGCTCGACTGCGGAATGGCCCTGGCAATTGCAAGTAGCCGATTTGGCATCTTGTTGTAGTATGAGAGTTTTGCACGAGCTTATCCGCTTGCTACGCACTGTAACGCTAGCGGTAAAACAGGCACTCTTTGGAATAAGTAAGAATACTCACAATACTGCATTCAGCGCGCAGGTTTTACCTCTTTGATAAAGCAACAATTCATGCAGCCGCGACTGGTTATTTCAAAAGATGTATAGCTTCGTTATTTACCATGCACTGTGACCTGACTCGCACATCCTCAACGCTGTTGCCACTGAGTGACCTCACCTTATGGTTTCCAATGTGAAGACACAGGCTGCAAACGGCCTTCCTGTCCGTCTCGCAATAAGCCCGCAGTATCTCTCCATGCTCCTCGCACTTGACCACTTTTGTGGCTGCACGCTGGGGCGCCTTTTCTGCTGTTCGAAGGGGCAGATGCTCCTTTCTCTTCCCCCTAGAATGATCGGCATCCGCACACTTTCTACAGTAGAAGATGTCCCCACAGTCACCGCACCACATTGTGGCTTCTCTATGCTCGCAAACTTCACACATGAGCTCCTTGCTCGCCTTCCTTCTTTCTCCCTCGACAGCATTGGTCTTCTGTGGTTCTAGAGGACTTCTATCATCATCCTTCTTGTCTTTTGAGCCTTCCCTCCTATGTTCCCTTTGGCTCTTGTCCCCAGTTCTGTCCTCCCTCTTGTCCTCCAGCTGTTCTTGCCGATTGGAGCTCCTAGCGGCTGCTCTAACTTCCTCACGAGCATCCTTGTCCTCATACCCATTCCTTCGCGTCTCCTTACCGCTCTCGTCTCGATGCCTGCTCTCTCGCTTTTCGTCTTTTGACTTCTCTTTGCGCTTATCCTTCCCTTCTTCCTTGTGAAACTTTTCTTTAGTGCTGTGCTTCTTGGTAGGTTCCACTTCCACATCGGTCTTTCGTTCTGCTGAGCGGTGCTGTTTAGCATTCTTTGACGCATCCCGTTCTTCCTCTGCGTGACGAGCCATTCTGTATTGCTGATTTTGCCCCTATGTCTATTGCTCAGGGTTAATGGGCATGCAGTTGGTCTTAGTATTTGCAGCCTTGCCGGCATGGTGGCGGGTCCATCAATCAAAAGCTCAGCATTCAAACAGCAAGCTTGTTTCAGGGAACTGTGCAGCATGCCTTATAGGTACTGAGTTGATGAAGGCTTCGCCATTGCTCGACAGCAGAGCCAGGCTCCCTTATATCACTACTGAAGCTACACTAGCTTCTCAGCTTCAACTTCTGTATTTCGCAGCAATTCATGTGTCTTTTAAAACAGAATCAATTGTCAAGCGCAGGCTCGGCGTGGTTTCAGATGAACAGTCCTTCTGCATCAGTTTAACTTTACTGCATGCCATTGCATCGCGCTGTCATTCCCAAATTCAAGGTACAGCTGGGTACAGCTTAAACACCGACGCAGGTTTTATAACAAAAAACTTTAATAGTGATAAGGATCTTAGGTACTGAAAGTACTCAATCTCTCGGCTTAACCAACACTAAAACCCTAAGGACAAAATGACCTGCTCCGCACCCGAACCCACCCTAACCACCAAACCAACCCCACCCGTACTCGTGTACCTTAAGTTCCTTGTTACTATTAAAGTTTTTCCCTATCAGGTTTTGGGGAGTGATGCACATTTTGTACACGAGGAGTACACAAAGGTTTGAGTGCTCGCGCAGATTATTTGCGATGACGTACCCTCCGATGAGCAGCTAGTTGAGGACTGAGAGCCGTCCGATACAACGCATGCAACCGGATTTTGAATCTCGGCGCGGTCGATCAAGTAAATATGGCATCGCCGCAAGCAATATTTAAGTACCAGTTCAGGCTCGTCACTGGCCGATCCTGGTCTGTTTTAGTGTGCTATCGTGTTTATTGTGCCAGTGCTTAGCTACAGTATATATCTTAGACGGATTGAACCGAGTCGATGTGCTGAGCCTTTGAGATTGCCTGATTAGGTAGTATAATAGCGCGCTAGGCTTCGACCGGCTGCAATAATCAGTAACGGACGGTAGTAGTAAAGCGTAAGATCAATCAAGGTATCACAACATTGTTATTGGCATGCCATAATGCAGACGTCTGAGTTCATGGCCTGGCTACGTCGTCATATAAGGCTTGGAAGAGACACCCCTAGCCTAATCCTGCTGTCCACCCTAATTATAATGGTGGTTAGATATGATCATATTTTTCGCCAAGAGACAGTGAACGCGATGAGCTATGACTTGATCGTCTAGCTTATAGTTGCCAGCTGGTGTAGCATGTTGTCTGCGCGCACGTCTGCCGCGCCAATTTGCGTGGCAAAGCATTCCGACATGATTCTTCATCCAGAGTCTTGGATTCGGGACCGGCTTTTTTTGGCCTTAAGCGAATTCACCGGCAAGCAGGAACCGTGGGCGGTCGTCAAAATACATTTTCGAGGGTCATGCATATCTGCTGCTAGCTGGGCCGACAATCGAAAACGTACCGGATCTCACTTCATTTCTAAGTAGCGGTCACGTTTCGTACTGTTCCTATAGTTTCAGACATTCAGTGCGCCATTACCGGTGACGCAGAGCTGCCAAAATGCAATCTTCTTGGTTTCTTGAAAGCAACTTGTTGCCCGAGGAAGACTTTCACGGGAGGCATGCTCGAGCGAGGCTCGAGCAGATCCTGGTGGCCCTAGAAGAAAAGAGCGTGTTGACTTCCGGTCGGATCCTGAATGAATCAAGCGGAGTCTTTCTCCTGCTGCATACGCGACACAAAGAATTAAGCCAAGAACTCTACTAAACGCGGTTCACAGCTCGCCCCTGTTCAACTCTGTCCACCTCTCCCGCTCCGCCACCGCGTCTGGATCGTAGTGATCGTACCAGTCTTGCAAGTGGGGAAACATGCGCCGAATGTGCCAGTACCGGTCGGGGTAGCTGATGTCGATCAGCGGCCTCGCCAACTCCAGCTCGGGAAGGTTCTCGAAACCGTCCTGAAGCAAGCCAGGATAAAGTTTCAGGGTTTGACCCGCGAAGCTGATTCATTGCAATTCTTCCAGGAGAGGGCTTTGAATAAAGAGGTATTGGGACGTGATGGGATTGGAAATATTTCCTGTAGAGCTCTCGAGAGAACAAGAAAGACCGTCGATCTGGCAAAAGATATCCTTGGACAAAAAAGAGCTGCAAAGGATACCCGTCAGCAATCGTTTCGGGTTTCGATTTTACTCTTTCTGACCATCTGCGAACGCGAAGGGCGAAAGATGTTTCACGCTCCATCAGATGCTCGCTGCTCTTAACTTCCTTAAGGAACTGCGCCCAATGCACTGAAACCTTTTGTGCAGATCCGATTCTTCCTTGCGGCAAGCTCTTACCTTGAACTGATTTCCGGGGAGGGTCAACAAGTGCTTGTCGTTGAAGAACGAGTCGATGTGCGGAAGGCTGTCGAGGATCGACAGTGCGTCGAACTGCCGCGTCAGGGCGAGGCACCCCTTCATCCCGGCAGCGTACAGCTTGCCCGCCAGATGCACGATGTAGTCGCCTGGTCGGTACTCCTGTGAGTCCAGTTTTACCAGTTAGTCGACCATCGGCGTTCAAAGCAAATAAATTACAGCTTATATTAGGTTCATAGGTTGGGCACAGAGTCCTCTCCTGGCCTCCAGTGAAAATCAAAGCGGCCGCCAGACAAAGACTTTGAAACGAACTTGTAAGTGCGTACTTCTTGCGTGGTGAAGGAATAGTTCAGCTCTGGAACGTTGTTCCGCCTAGACAAAGGCCAAGAAGCCGTTCTTCTGGCCGCATCCTTGGCCGCATCAGGTGCACGAGCACAACTGAGGAAGAGAGCATTCCTGTTTCAAGGCTGCGCTCCTCTTCGAAGTCGTTTCTTACCTCTGGGTAAACGTTACAAGCGTGCTTCGCCACGTACTTGACTTTCTCTGCGCTGCCGGGCGCTTCAAGCGCCTGCAGAATGGCGGCTTGGTCGGGGCCGAGCTGCCAGTTGTTGTCGTGCTCCCTGGCGTTATAAGCCCTTTGCAAAAAGTCACGTGCCCATGCGCTGCAGAAGGACGCAACATAATTGGTTGCGGTACTTTCTTTCATGATACCTAGACAGCAGGGAGATTCAGCGTAAGCAGACGCCGAATGATCTCATCATCAGAAGCAGAGGATATCTGGCCTTTCCATCCGCGAAGCTTTGAACAGCTACTGTGAAAGCGGATATGTTCGCATGCGTACCCCAGGCCTTCAATGGTAGTGTGATCGAAATAATGCCAGTTTCTGAATTCTGGAACACCCATCCCGAGCTCTGCTTTCCTTGTATTTGAGGAATCTACGAAGTTCCACAACAACTCGCTCTTCTCTTTGTGCTTACCTGCACTTGAGGAAGAAGACCCCTGAGTTGATAGTGAGCCAATCCCTAGCCATGACCAGATCGAAGTTGTCATCAGCAAGGGCAGCCACTGGAATTGATTGGTTGATGATCAGGGCGTCTGCGTCCGTCCACAGAACCCACGTGTCGTCGGGCCTGCCCACGCAAGCAGCGCTGGCCAGCTTCAACTTTTGGAAGTTGTATGGACGATCCTGCAGAACGATTTCGTTTGTGAGAACATACTGCTGCAACGTGCGCACATGTGCTGACTAGCGGTCCCAAGAAATGAACGTTACGAATATTGGGTTTGGCGATCGCTGATGATACTGGCTTGCCATGCTGTAACACAGCATTGGAAAGGGGTTCGTAAACCGAAGCTCGTTCCGCAATCGCCCCGCTAGATGTCAAAACATATTTTCGCAACGGTGACGAGGCACCCGCCGCCCCAACCCTCTGCTGTGCACTACAGCAATGGCACACAGTGTTTCCCACCTTGTCAGTGGACCACTCAGGGTAAGGTTCAAAACTCCCGTCCGGCATCTCCTTCAACAGGCCCTCTGCGCCACTGGAAAGATGGGTGGCCATCTCGTAGCCCCACCTCCGGGCATATCTGAAGAGTACGAGGTGGCGCTTCAGAATTACTAGACCCTTAAATGATCGGCGATTCCTGCATCCCAGCAATTGTGGTTCGCCTGCGAAAGGTTTCTTCTCGATCAATCACCCTTTCCCTTCTCTTCATCATCTGACACACCACTGCAGGGTCAGAATCCATCGAATTCAAAGTCTGCACTCAAAGTGGTGTAATTCCAATCTCTTTCAAACCTACTCTTCACACCACCTTCGGTGTCAGTTGCAAGTTTCAGGATGGGATGCGAACGCAGTGTGCAACCTTTATATGATTCTGATTGTACTTGAAAGCTGCAACTTTCAAAATTGATTGCAGAAGACCGCACTGACACATTCTACTATTTCAAACAACCTCAGCAAGCAAATTCACTTTCTGAGGTTACTTCAGGCTGACCTGCTATGGAAAAAGCAGACCCAGCTTGCAGCTCTAAGTGTATTTCTGAAGCAGCTAGTATGCCTTTTGGAGGAGTGCTATTTCCATGTTCATCACTGAAGCATGACAAGCATCCACCACCCGAAGGAAACCCTTGATGCAGCCTCACCTGCGCTTATTCTCAAGAGCAGTCCCTCCAATCGGCTCAAACTCTGGGAACTTGCTGCTTTCATGCATGTGCAGCAGCACCACCCTTCTTCTTTGCCCATCAGGGTGTCTCGCAGCAGCGTCTTGATTTTTCAAGTCCATCACAGTCTGCTCCGATGCAACTGGTGAGAGCACCCCGGACTGGAGTTGCTCCGCTTGCTTCCGGCTCTCTTCTTTCACCAACCCCTCCAGCTCATCAAGATCAGCTTCTAAAAGGTTCCTTCGTTGAGCCTGGAGCTCAACGTCCAGCTTCATTGGATCTTTTTCAATGCTGCTGTGGGGGTTGTTGCCTGAAGACCCAAAGATAGAAGCTGAAGCAACTGCGCTACGGGCTTGGCTTAGCTGGTGCTGGCTAGCTAAGGATGTAATCCCTAGATTGACAAAAGTAGCTATGCCAGCTCCGGCTGCGAAAATGGCTATGCCGAGGAGAATCATCAGCCACACATTGGCTCTGGTCTTCGGGACCTCCATCGTCGCCATGGTTCGAGCTCAGGCGCAGCTGCTTGCTGGTGGTACACAGATGGAAGAAACCAGGGGAAATCTTGTGCACTGGGAGAATGGAAGCAGCTCCAGTAAGTGTCTCAGCTTTTCTGGGCCTCAGATCTGAGATAACACCAGACCTGCTAGGCCTTCAGGCATACCAACTTCACCCAGCTCTGTCACCAGAGACTATGGTCAATAATTACGTTAGATGTTGAATATTACTTCAGTAGCCACTCCTCCGCCCACCTTCCTGCGCATCAAAAGCACCCTTGCCCCTTGCTTTGCGAGGGCTTTGCCTTGAGCTTTCAAGGGTTATTGAAGAGTAGTTTACTAAGTTACTGGACCGGTACGACGAGCAGACGAGCTACTGTACGGTACATTACATATCCTTTGTATCATTTCAATTGACCCAAAGCGGGTGTACACCGAAACGGTTGGGAGGGTGTGCGCGAGCACGGCAACAGGTGCCACGTACTAGCTACTGCAATTCTCTAAAACCTCCCATTCTCATCCAGGTTCCTTCAGCGGCCGGCGGTAGCGCGGCCGCGAAACCCTGATCGCATTTGTGCATTCTCGATCAGGCGTGGGGTTCATATTTTCATGAGGAATTTGCAATCTTTGCGAGGCCAGGCGCTTCCAATCCGGCCTCTCTTGATGTGGATGGGGATTGGTGGTGGAAGGAGAAGGCTTGTGGAGCATTTGAAAACATTAGGGAGTTGACTAGATCTGCGGGACCAGAAAAATAGTCCTCTGCTTGCGAGGATTAGAATCTGAGGGCAAGGTAGGGAACCTTCTGTTTTAGGGAATCCTAGCCTGCATTTCAAGATGTACAGCAATGATGTTGCATCAGAAAGCGGCGAAGCAGAACCAGAATGCCAAGAGGTGAGTCAAACATTCTGAGTTCTAAATCCAGGTTTGCTACTTTGTGACAGTCTAAGAGAACAATTCAAGTTGACAGCTCACCTAAGATGGGCTGCCCATCCCCCAAACTTGTAGAACTTTACTGGTCTGGCATCAGCTAATAGCAGTTCTTAGCTACAAGATTCTGTGCTCAGTTCATGTCCCTTCAGACATAACGCTGCTGAAGAAGGTGCAGGGTGCTGAGTGGAGTCAACATGTGTTGCTCCAAAAAGCACTAGTCTTTGCTGACAGGGCAGTTGCTAGCATGGGTTGCTGCACTGCCACAAAGCTTTCTGCACAATTGGATGGCTTCTCAGAACATCCTCTATGTGTTAATAAACTCTCTTTTGCTGTGTTTCAGACTGAGCCGCTGAAGTTCCAAGAGAAGCATGCGGCAAACCAGAATTTGATAAGTGTGCAAGCTGGAATCATACACGGACTTCACGCTCACATGTTAAAGGAGCAGCGAGCATTCGAAGACACACAGGTGAACACCGCTTGCCATGGACCAGACTGCTTTGCCGAAGTGGTTGCCTCAGGAACTTGAAGACTAGGAGAACTCAAAACCATTTTGAATAGCACCTCTCTTTGTAGGATTAATATCCAGTTAAAGGCGGCGTAAGCTCATACAAACAATCATTGTAGCAATCCGTTTGACCAATTGACCTTCTACAGTGGATGTCTCCTGGGAGCGACTGGACACACAGAATATAATATTCTGCATCTAGCAGAAAGATGCCGCTGTTCATCTTTTCTGTCGGTGTCAAGCCCCCCTGTCCATACCAACTGATTGGTCTAGGACCTATGGCCAAGAACATGTTTCAATGGCTTTCATCATCTAGATCTGTCCAGACTAAAAGAAGCAGCTCACAATAAGCAGGCTGGTGCCCTCCTTTTACTAGGATTTCCACAATGCAGGTGGCCTGGAGTAGGCAGCAAGACCAAGAGCTTGCTGTCCTGAACAAGATGCTGTTACATGTGCGAGGTCTGAGTGCTGGATCAGATGCAACAACTGCTCAGGACTGTTGTGCAGGTAAGTATGTGCTAAGAAGCTCCGGCATCCCCGCAATACTGGACAGCATTTAAAGAGCTTCAAACTATCATCGTCAGAGCTTTGCTCCCCTGCTCATCGGAGCACAGGAGATATGGTCCGATCTTGAACTGCAAAGCGACCGTTGAAGGCCAATCTGTCTTGTAGTGTGCGGAGACTGCTGTCTGGTGACAACCAGCTCAACATGCCGGTGTTCCGTATTTCTTTGCGTTGCGTAGACAGAGGTCTTCAAAGGAACTATTTTCTGGCACCGCAGAGGAAGCAACGTGCATTCAACAAGTGGAGTCTGCGTTACGTGATGCTAAGATCGAGGCCCTTGAGGCTGAGCAGGAGCGTGCACTGTGGGAAGAGCGGTGAGCCAGAACGTCTTCTCTTCCGCATAATTCAAGCTGTCCCGAAATTAGAGTTGCTCTTCCAGTCACGTCAAACTCAGAAGAGAAGGGGACGCTGGAGCAGCATCATATCATTGGTCTTGAACTTTTCCTGATGTCAGAAATGTTTAAATCAATCATGTAAGAGTCCTGACAGAGTTGTGCGAAGCGGTCTTTTGCTCGGTTGCTGGGAGACAGTCTTCACACCAGCAGTGCTTCGCTTGATTTGAGTAGAGTCTGCGAAGTTAAGCATTCCTAAGCAAGCTCGTAAAGGACAATGAGATCTGCAAACGAGACTTTCACTGTGCGATTCCGAATTATAAGGACATTGACGTTTCCACAGTGCTCGACGGGCTATGGACGAAGCGGCTGCTATTGTGAGAGAGGACCGTCTGGTGTCGGCGTCAAGGACGGAGCATCTGGAGGGGCTGCTATCGACGGCTGAGGTAGGTCACTGCACAAGGGTCGGCATCGATCACTGGTTACAAAATAATAGCGGAATTGGCATGTTGGCCCTCTAAAACTTGTGTCTCTGGGATGCTAGATATGTCGTTTCTATCTTTTCTAAGAGCCTCGGCTTGATTCTTAAGCTGGCGATTTTTTCTGGTCGATGCCGGCTCAGAGTATTAGTTAATACTTGAGTGGAGTCAGACCGCAGTCAGCGGAAAGTCGGACATACTTGAAACTTTTTGAAAGAGCAACAGAACTAGAACAACAGAACCTTTTGTCCAACTTCCACCCATTCGCTCTTTCACCTAGAACGGTTGTGTTCAATACCGCATCTCACTCAATTACTAGCTTCGCAGTTCAATCGCCAGAAGTTGGAAGCCTGCACTCGGAGCATGCCAGGGGTTTTTGATAACTAGAAGCGACGCTTTGAACCTTCGCTGACGGAACTGAGCCGGAACAGACGGTTAACTTGCCATAGAACGAGGCGACCTCTGAACAGTGGTTTATCGGGCTGAAAAGATGGAACGTCCCGTAGTCAGCGCTCGTTAACTGTGTGAAGTCGATCAGTTTTGTGGGAACCGAATGGCTGACCCTCGAAGCTTCGTAACCGTTATGTGCGGATCGTGAACCAGTCAGATACTAAGGAACTCTGATTGTCAAAGTATATGTCACCGACTCAACGGTCCACAATTTCAGGGTGGCACTCTTCAGATTTTTGCCTCCATACCTGGAGTCCTTGAAGATCTCCAAAGGGACGCGAGCAAATGGCGCAGCAGAAAGAGGCAAACGGAGAAAGACAGGTGGATGAGTCAAAGATTTGACACTTCTCGGAAACTGAAACCCTTCTTTGCCGATCCCTCCCGGGTCGTATCAACAAGTCTAAATTTCAATAATGGTGGCCATCTCTCATTACAAAAACAGTTTCATTTTCGAATTCTGCAGGCGCGAATGAATGAGCTCGAGGAAGAGTGCTGTTGCCAGGCTCAAAGGGCAGACCGGGCGGAAGCGCGAGTGGGGCAACTAGAGGACGAGATGCGTGCGGCGAAAGCGATCTGGGTGGACTTGCAACAGCGGGAGCGAGACTGGGAGGAGACGGCCGCGTTTCTGAAAGCCCAGCTTGCCGTGGCGCAGTGAGTGATCGATTGTTTGACAAGTCAAGTGTGACAGATTTCTCATTAGTAGAGCTCGGAAGCGCGACGGACGGTTTGCCCGTCCCCGTGGCCCGTTGCCCATTGCGTGAGCAGTAGATCTTGGATGCAACAGCTGAGATCTAATCGTAAAATATGACACACCTGTCAGATCCGGATCTGCGTCTTCGAAGTGTCAAAGAAGTCGACGCTCCAACTTTGAGCGACCTGAAGCAACGGGAAGTCCATCTGGGGCACGTCGAATTTGGATGCTTACTCTTTTGTAGCTTTTGTTTTTGTTTATGAGCCGTGTTACATTGGTAGTGCCTATTTCACTTTGGAGGCATTTTTCTTAAGATAGGCGCCCGGCAGACGAGGGAACTTGGTTGGGTGCTTCGGGTGGGTTTTGGTGCGGAGCGCGTTCATATTTGGGGGAGATAAATTTCTCTTTCGGAGTGCCCGGGTCATATCTTAAGTCATGTCTTAAGCAATTGGATCTTAAGTGAAGTGGGAATTACCAGTAAAGCCGTTTTTGTCAAGCAGAGATTGAAACTTGTTCGCAATCGTGACTCCGTTGCTTCCGAGATGCAGGTCCCAAGTAAAAGTTTCCAAGCTGCGGTTATCACAGCAACAGCCAGGGTCATTGGTAGCACCGCCCCCCACTGAGATAGCTATAGGAGCAAGCCCGAGCATCGGCTATGTATTGAAACGAAACGAGGTTGACGGCAAGGAGAACGACTGGCAGGCACTTACAAGATCCCGGGTAGCCCCCAGCGGCACCTTACTAGGATTCGAGACCGAGAAGCAAGTCTACAAGAAGAAGTCGGTTCGAGTCGCGCCCGCTGGTTCTCTTTTCGTCGGAAATGCTCGGACTGAGAGTAGGAATAGCTTAAAACCGCGCAAGCCGCTAAAACTGATCAATAACCGGTGACATTGAGCTGCCCTGATAGATTGTATTTTGATTGACCAATGAATAATGACAGTGCAACGTAGGTTGTCTGGACGAGTCTTTAAACCGAGTCTCCTGGAAACAATAAGTACGTGGAACTTTAAAGCAAGCGTGCTGCAATTAAGACAGTCCTTGTTGGATTGACGTAACGAGATCTGGCTTGCAAGTGTCGGACTTAACCTAAAACAACTTCAGAAGGGGCAGGTGATCGGGGCTTCAGGACCAGAAAGTGCTTTACAAGTTACTGGAGTGACCAGTGCTTGCAGCAATATGAATATTGACTTGAGTCCACCACTGTCGTGGCGGGACCCAGAGTTGTCGGCCGGTCGTTGCCCCCGCATGGGCCAGCCACGCGGTGCGCCTGGGCCGCACTGGTGGTGTACGCTCAAAAGCAAAGGCGGCCGCGCCGCCATACGCCAAGCAAAATGGCTTAAACTTACATATGGCTTGCATGCCAGGCTGCCAGAAAAGACCACTGGCTGTGACGTACGGTAGCATTGCCCGGCCAGCGTTGGAAGTAGCGCGGCGCACTGCACTCAGGAGATGATCCGCCCAACTTGGCAGCTATATCTGGTGCATGAGTTTCCAGGAAGGAAGAAAGCGTTGGCCAGGTTTCCATCTGCATTGGTGTTTCACCTTTTGCACCTGGCTAATTGCCCGTTGTATGTGTGCTTTTGAATCTTGACAAAGTCACCAGCCGCTTAATTGTTTTCGTATCTATTCTGACCTTTCCTACTGTACACGAACCAAAAATCTAAGCAGTATGTCCTCTAGCCGAGCTGAACATACTGCACCACAACCCCAAACACATTCAATCGATAGTACAAACTCTATACATTTACCCAAAACCACCACCTCTATACCCAGCCACCTCAATGACCGCTTAATCTGTACACCCATATTCCCGAACCCCTTTATACACTACCCCACAGCCGAAACCCCTACCCATCATGATACGCATATCGACTTGGCCCTCGACTGCAGCCACAGCGTCTGCCCCGCCAGTGCCAAATCCCCCACCCCAAACTTCTGCCTATTCCACAGCACATTCTCATAGAAAATGGGCCGCGCCTTCTGCCCCTCGGCAACGGTCAAGACCACGACCGTCGTTTCTGACGTGTCTAGTTCCATCGCGACCTTGGGGTACACCCGCTGGAGGATGGACGCAGTGTGGGCCGTTTCACACCACACGTGCAGGATGGAGTTCATGAACGTGTGCGAAGCGGCGACGCCCTGCTGAGCCACGACCTGTGCATGCCATGGAGAAGAGATGATGAGAACGCTTCAACGATACAACGAGAACAGTGTCTCTGCTTTGGTTAATCGTCAAGCATATGAGCGTTTAGCTTGATGAAGAGCAATTCGAAGTTTCATTGTCCTCAACTGGGCGAGCCCTCTGGATCCGTTGTTTGTCGAAGTCATTTCCGGCAAGTGTTCTGATTTCGTTGTTTCGTCCATGACCATTAAAACAATTCGGAGTTTGACTTTATTCGGCACAACACAATTCCTCCTGTTCTGTAAGAGGCCAATTATTTTTCACTCCTAAAGAGGGAATCAGCAGATAAAAACCAGTTTCAAGGGTCAGAGTTGACTAAAACAATCCCAATCCCACTTTCCGATTTCTAGGACAAGCACCTTTGCCGTTTCCTAAATAATGTGGAAACACAGACCTGCTCCATAAACTGGACTGGACGAGTGCAAAACCATGTGGCAGAGAGCCTCAATTCAAAACTCTTCGCTCAGACAACTGTGTAAAGATCGACAACGCAAAGGGTCCGGCAGTTCACTAAAAGCCTGCCCATACAAGCACCTTCGCAAACCGACCAGCATGGCGTTTTGAAAATTTCAGAGCGAATAATTGCCGATCGCGTCAGCTCACAAGGCGATTCCTAAGGGGAAGGCGTTGAATCAACCCAATGGAGCCTTTCAGATTCCAGCGAGCAGTACGAAGTGGGCTGTTTCGACTCAAAAAGGTCTTGAATGACTGGAAGGGTCATGGAAAAAATTGAAGAAGACAGATATGCAAGGAAGTGCTGGGTCAGAATGGTCGGCAGAGTCATACTGTTCTTTAGAAACTCTATTTCCTCATTTAGAGAAACGGCCAACAAACCGGTTGCTCACCAGTCCGTACAGCTTCTTGTACAGCAGGCGACGGGCGTCCTCCTCAGAGAAGTTACTGGGGTTAGGGTAGGACATGGCGCGTGTGACTGAGACGCCCATGCGCGTATCAAAGATGTCGATGATGTAATCCACCTTCTTCCAGTTGGGGTTGCAGTAACCGACCTGCGAGAACAAGCAAAGAGTCATAGTCTGTCACTAAAACGTACAGATGCATTCATCCAAGCCGCAAGTGAAGGGTAAAAGTGCCTTATAAAGGATCAAACTGCGACTACCTGTACCAAGTTGAGGTAGTGTGGAAAGCTGACTGTTTGTACCAGTGGCATTGTGTGCGAATGCATGCCCACAGTCGACCTGCTCTTTGGTGGTCTCTGACTTAAAACACTGTATGCACCCTGAACAAGAGATGCCAAACTTGGAAAGATTTGGAACAGGCGCTCTTCTGAGTCAAATGGATTCAGGAGCAAACGAATGCAGAGAGGGTAAAAGCGATAAGGAGCAAGGAAAAGTCTCAGTGACAGTCAAACAATGCAAGAAGATACCGGTGCCAAATGCAGGGAGGCAATGAAGAAATCCAAGAGCTTAAAATGCAGCCAGAAGGACCCAATTAGTCTGGTTGAAAGGGCGTTAAATGAAGGGCGCTTCTCTTTATATAGGCATGGTGTCATGAATAGTCTACCGGGCCATGTCGAGAAGCCTCTGAGATCCTGTGTTTCAATCATAACGACTTGGAGTACTGTTAAGGGGCTCAAGACAAGTTGGACGTCAGCTTGCAAACGGGGCTTACCTCCATCTCAGTGATCACATTCGTCCCTCCAAATGAGCGCACGAAGTACTCCACGGACAGCGACTGCAAGGCAGCAGGAGAATGTCAGCTTTGCACATTCTGAAAACATGCATGCGGTTTATCGTTTACATGAGCCAATCGCGCAATGCCAGGTATTGCTGAGAGGGTCTGCAAAGATGTCTTCATTGCCTGCATAAATCGTTGCTCAGAGGCTCTGATTCGAAGACTTTCTGAGGCTTCTTCATTTAGAAGCATCAACAAGGAGAACAAGAAGAAGGTTGTGGAGGCTGTAAAAGTGGCTGCATGCTCGACAAAGAGGATAGATGCAAAAACTCCATTCCAGTCTCTGGCTCAAAGCACGAGCATGCAAAAAGTGCCTCACCTCAGAGACCGTCGATTGCCCCCCTGCATTTGGCTCGCGGCAGATCCTGGTCGCCTCATACCCCAGCTCAAAGTTGTGGAACGAAACCTGAGGGTAGAAGTACCCCACAAACACCTTACCATCCGTGACGTTATATACAGAGGCGCCATCAGGCCCCAATGCTGTGCTGTACTCTACACACCCTCTCCCTATCTCTGCATACTCTGCGTCCAAAAGGCGCACGAAGAACGTGCCGCTCAAGTCAATCTCCTCCTCGTTATGTACCAGGACAGAGGGGCACTGTACAGGGGTTCCTCGCTTCTGCATTGCGATCGTCAGCCTCAGGTTCTCGCGCGTGTCTATCGCTACTGCAAAGTCCTTGCTAGCTAGAACAGTCAGGCTAGAGGCCCCACTCTTCTTTCCTGTTCTCTGCGCCTTTCTTCCCTTTACACCGCCCGCCTTTACACCGGCCTTTGCTCCAGATTGAGGCGCGAAAACTGGCAGTGCCGGCCACTCCTCCTCTCCTAAAGCAAAGCCGCGCCGGTTTGAGGCTTCTTGATGCCACACCGTAGAGCCAGTCGCGCTTAAGGCCCTCCTTTCTGAACGAGAAGTGCTCGTAGTGTCCACAGGGGTCACTGTGCTGTCCTCCGCTCTCACCAGCAAGATCTGCGGAACCTGCTCCGCTGTCAGAGTCAGAGCTGCTTCCTGACGCATCGGTTGAGTCAATTCCCTGGTTGGACTGGGAGTGCAAAGGGGAGGCCATGGTTGAGAATCCTGCGTTGTTCGCCCCGCTCCTCCTTCGTATCACTCGCCGCCCGCACCCATTGGTTCGTCTAGACATCTCCTCACAAGCTTGTGTCAGCGCCTACTCCGCAAAGCAATGCACCCTGCAATGCACAATTGGCTGCAGCTGGAAATAATATTCAATTCCCCCTCTAGAAAGAGGACGAGTTGGAAAATGACAAGAACGCTGTTGACAACAGGACTCCTTCCAAGCAGGAAAGCGAAGAGACGCCCCGGCCCCCGGCAGAGGGCACCCCTTGCATTACCCCATGCAGCAGAAAAAGGCTTGCGACGTGCTTTGCCAGCAGCGGCCAGGGATCATCATGGTGACGTATCGGTTGTGGCAATGGGTGACGTCCCGTCGCACAACCCCGAGCCATTCACGCATTCTGGGCCTCAGATTTTGAATTCCAAGATTCGATTTCGAAAATCGAACCTTGAATCTTTGATTCACTCGGCCGTCCCTGGGTCGGGTTCACATTGGACTTTTTGCCCTAATTCGGTCTGCCATGATTCGCAATTGGAAGTACCCATGCTGACGTTTTAGCAGTTCCGGATTACGATAGCCAGACTGGGTTCACATTGCAGTTGGGTCCGTCGAAATACGTCTCGTAATTCAAAACTCTCGTCTGGAGCCATGTGACTGACCACGTGAATCGTCTTGAGTACACTATGTACACAAAACCGTCAGCAAAGGCTGAGGCGTGACGATATCCAACCTGTACTCATCGTGATTGGGCTATCCAAACGCGGTCGACGACCGCGTTTCGATAGCCTCCCGGATTTGAGTAGGTTTTCGACTTCGATAACTTTTGAAGTTCGAAGAATTGACCGTTAGCTCGCCGACTCTGGCGGGGTGACGCCGAGTGACGCAAGTCAAGCTATCGAATCACGATAAAAGTTTTGAGAAAGTCCAATGTGAACCCGACAGATTGTTTCACAAGACCATCGCAAGGCTAAGAGTGGATCACGTGTTGAGTGCACGTATCGACCTCGACTTAGATTTCAAACCGTCGATGAAGATCTTGATTTATCGAAAGGTTCAGAACTACAGAAACAGCGCTTTTGTGGCAGCCGTCGGTATTTTACGTATCGACGGTCACTTCAGCTTCGATAGAAGCGGCTTCTCAATGGGATTTCTAGGGGTTCCTGCTGGTCGCTTGGCCCCGGAAGACCTCTAGCCCCGCTCCACTTGACTGTTCCACGTAGCAACTTGCATATGCATTCGAGCAGCAACTTTGCAAGGGTGCTACCTTAGGGAGGCAGATCCTGTGGAGGCTCAGCTTGGTGGCTGCTTCGCGGCAAAATGGCGGCAGCAATCCCCTTCTCGATATGGTCACGGTGGCCTTCTCCAAAAGCTGCTTTCCTTGTTGCGAAAAGAGCGACAAAGAGTAGGGTGGGTCTGGTAGGGCTTCGCATCGAGCTTCTTAAGTTGAGCCGCAGCGAGTTCTTCTATGATGGCAAGGGGAGACGGGGTTATGCGTCTGGACGAGACGGTTCCTGGCAGCTCGCAAGGTGGCGGCACGATGACGGGTGAGTGCATGCACGCTGTTGGCTTGCATCTGTATGTTGCAAGGAGGTTATGCAGAATTTGCTTCTCCAATAGAGGAAATATATTCAAGTTGCTGCGAAGAGAGTGGTGAGGGGGGCTGAGGGCATGCGTCGAACATGTTCAGGCCACTAGCATCGATTGCAATAGATTCTGAAATAATAGCGTAATTGCATTTCTGCTATGTTTTCATGCTCTGATAACATGGATGAAAGATAAACCCGATCAAATATCTGGTGCGGTTTCGTTTGCAATCATGTAGCAAGGCTTTGCTATCAGAAAGACTGGAAAGTTTTCTCAATCTTTGAGTTCCGCATGTTTGTGAAGGATAAGGGCGTACTTTCATCTGATCCCCATCATGGTTTCATTAGTTTGGTTGACCAAGATGCGCAGAAGCTGTGTCTTACCCTGGGAACCCCGATCCTTTCAAAGCAAGCCTCCTTTCATAGACCTTCATCTTTGTTACTTGGTGCAACGTTTGTAGCAAAGAAGATCAGCCCAAACCTTTGAGTGTCACCACTAAGTATTATAGGAGTCCACCTACGCTAGGGGCCACCCTGAAATTGTTTGATCAAACCTAACATTAGGAGCCAGAATTATTGCTTACTTCGGCATCGCCTCTGTTTTCATGCAGGAGCGAAGACTGTCCGAACGATTTCATACCCTCAATTGGTCCGCTCTTATTGGATCGACTATTTAGTCGTGATCCTCATGCTGGTCATCTTTGTTGGGACGTCATTCATCCACCCGTACGAGCGGTTTATTTATGACGTCGAGCTTACGCACTGGCTCGCTTACCCGACCACTGCTGATACGATCCCGTCGTGGAGTGTTCCGGTAAGTGTACCACTGGTCTCCTGGTGGTGCTTCCAGTCTGTTGCAGGCAGACATTCAGTCATATACGCATGCTGCAACATCTCTGTTGACTTGTGGACGTCCTGGGTCGTATTCTCTGGTTGTGCCACCATAAACAAGGTTATGCCTGTTTTCAAGCATGCACTTCCTATCCTCTGCCGTACACCTCCGCATAAGCAGCTGACAATGATGGCCGCCGTGTGTTTCCCTGATCCACATTTATTCGTCAGATAGAAGCAGGCTTGGAAAGAAGATCAAGACAGGGGGTTGATTGTTCGTGGTTTTTGCAGGTCTACTCGCTTGGGGTGCCTATTGTGACCTTCATCGTTGTCGCCTGCTTCGTACGCAGTGGGCATGATTTCCATCAGGCAGTCATCGGTGAGTGGCCCACCATAGACATTGTCCACCTGTGCTATTGGTCCATTTGACAACGTTTTGAAGTTCCCAGGTTCGTTCTTTGCGCAGGCACATCTGGCACATAAGTAGTGTTCGGGAGGGGGCTTAGCCAACAAGATCATTGACTTCAGGCTGGCCTCCTCTCTTCTTTTTTGGATAAGTAGATAAACAAGTATTTCTACTAGCTTTCCCCAAACTCCAGACACAGATATACATCCATTGCAATCTTTTTGCGCGAAGCCAGAAATCTGAAGAAAGCAAGAAAATTGAAGGGATGCATTTGAAGCCAGAAATCTGAAGAAAGCAAGAAGGGATGCATTTGTAGCCAAAGGTTTTTGAATAGCTGTGGGGATGGTCACTGTGTCGCTCACCTTCTTTGCAGGTCTGCTGTTCACCGTGTTTACCGTTGGCATCCTCACGAACTTGACCAAGGTCACCATTGGGCGTCCCCGACCGGATTTCATGTCCGTCTGCTTCTTGAACGGAGAGCCGGTGAGCGCTGTTTAGAGGACGCTTCTGCGATCGTGGCAGTAGAGGCATCAATTTATCCAAGGAGATACAGAGATACTGTTCACATGTTTACAATTTTCTTCGGTTCGCGTCAGAATTATCAAGTCGAACCGACGCTTTTGATTCGTCGATGTCAGTCCCAACCGCCGCTTACAACTCATCCAACTCATGAGATCGGTGTGCCGGCTTTTAGTCGAATCGCTCTTCGAACTCTGTTGGGTTAAATGTTTTTGGACTCTTAGGATGGCCTTCTGAAGTGCTGCCAAACCCAAACCCGACCTATTGAGAATCAATATCCTGTTTTCAGCAGTGCTCTGATTAGGAGCCCCTTTACCGCGGATCTGGACAATGAGAAGCATCCAACGATTTAACCCGTGCTGACTTGCTGGCTGAAGGCACAATCACACCGTCTCTCCATTGAAGTCCGAAGTACAATCCTCACGGCAGGGTTCAGGATTTCATGTGTCTAGGAAGGCTGCTGAGCAAGGTCTTAAGCGGTACTGAATGTTGCTTTCAACCGCTCTGCTCCAGGTGTTTGCTTCGAATGGTAACGTCCTCTGCAACAATCTGGTGTCAACCCCTAAGCAACTACGAGATGCGCGACAGAGCTTCTTCAGCGGTCACTCTTCAGGTCAGCTTCGCACTCTTTTTGCATGGGTCCATATTGTGGTGTTTCGTTGTTCCTTCGAAGACGAGCATGCCGAGTCAAAGAAAACAGTCGATTAGCGTTGCTTTCTTTGCCTCTAGGTCTGTCCGGTTGTGGTCCCTTTGTCCACTCAATTTCTCGTTTCGGATCATGGTTCGTTTTGTGTGCGGCCATTAATTGTCTAGCTGCCATTCATTGTCGGTCAAGGACCCGCATGACGTTTTGAGTTCCTCACCGATACGACGTGCCTAGCTTTCAGACAATGTGTGGCATTCGTTTCCATCGCTCTCCGTTTGTCGCACTTTTCACTTTGCCAGTCAAGAGCTGTGAGCCAATTTCTATTGTGACTGCCTTCGTTGCAAAGCTTCTGCGGGCCAACTTTTGCTGTCCCTTTACGTCCTTTTCATGCTTGAAAGGTTACTGGAAATCAGTTCTTTTGCCGTTTGGAAGCTTCTTGTTGGCAGCCCTTCTCACAAGCGAGTTGGCTGGGAAGAGACCGCTGTTGGCACGTCTTGACTGCCAGTAGTAATCGTCTACAGAGTCAGCAACCTCAGTCCTTTCCCGGAAATAACGACAACCTGTTGAAACCGCTCGCCTTCGCAGCAGACTCATTTTAGAACAGGGACAGTGCTCTACTTTTGGAGTGGCTTCTGGCGGTCTTTTGCGAGGTTGCCCGTTTTCTCTGCTTTTATGTCTTCTTCGAAAGACCTTTTGACCTTGTCGGCGTATTCTCGAAGTATGGTTTGAAGCCGGTTTGTGGCCCACCCAATACCCTGCTCAGTCCAGTATTTGTACAAATATGATTAATCTGGTTTACGCACGCAATTGTGCCTTACGCTCCTTTAGCTAGCCTTTACTGGCAAGAAGACCATCCGAAGTTTTGGGCATCTCTGACTAGCAAGAAGATTCTTGAAAAGCTGTTTGAGGGTGATCTGAGAGTAAGGTGGATGCTTCACGAAGCTATGTTTGTCGCTTGTTTCTCTCTCTTTTTCTTTCTTTCCCCCCTGTTTTGCATTGGTATATCTTCATTGCGCTGCTTGTTTCCATCTTCATTGTCTCTTTTTAAACTATTAGTGAATAGGTATTGGAGTGTTCAGCCGCTTGGGACCTTAACATCCAAAAAGGAAAAGCAAACCTAAAATCGTTCTGCCGAGCATGCGGAGAGCAACATGCGGCGCTTGTTTCCGTCTTAATTGTCTCTTTGGACTGGTAGTGAATTGGTATTGGTTCAGCCGCTTGGGACCCTGACAACCGAAAAAGAAACGCAAACCTAAAACCGTTCCGCTGAGCATGCGGAGAGCAGTTCTTAACGGGCGTTCGCACAGTAACGCTGGACGCGGACGTTATGCGTGTGGTGTCTGCTTCGTCATTGTCACTTAGCGGCATCATGGCAAGGACGATGCTGTGGTCCGTCTCTCTAGCGGATCTTTTCCAACATGACACATCGGAGCCATGTCTTGTAGCTTGGTACCTGTGATTAAGGCAAGGACGATAGAAAGTAGTGACATGAAGCTGTCACTGCTCATTTTGGATTCCGAGCGGAAGCCTTTGGTGAAAGGTCCTGAATCATTCGAAGAATGAAGGAACGAATGCGCATCGCTTCGTGACGGAGAGAAAGCGTGTCTAGCGACTTGCGTCTCAATTCCGCTTCCACTTGGTGTTTGAACCAAGAGCTACGAGTTCAAAGATAACGTACTTTGCTAAAATGTGAGTCGAGCGATGTATTGAAGCAAGTGTTCGAACGGTGCGGGAGATTTTACTCGACCCTTTCTACCTAGACTTCCCCTTTTTGGAGCCCCGAAAGTTTCGTCCACAACGGCAACCGAAGCTTCGTTTGGTGTTTGTGTCGGACCACTTATTGAGAGGGCTTGTTACTCGGTGACGCTTTAGAACTCTTGACAGCATACTCTGTAAGGCGCCAGCACGCAGGTGTGGATTCGACAAACTTTGAGTTCCGTTTGTGTATAGTTTAGCTGGTCGCATCTTTTGCGTGTGACTACGCCGAAAGCCCTTCAGTACGTGGCGCGTTTGTTGATGCCTCCGACCTCAAGCACAGAGTCTACAGACGTTCAAGTCAATGATTTGGATCCTAGACACGATAGGCAATCAGTGTGCTTCCTTGCTTCATGCTGTTCTAGGGTATGAAAGGAACGTTTTCCCGAGTTGCAAACGCACGCGAGATGTGGCTCGCTCGTTAGGCGGGGTGTTTGCGAGTGTTCTTTAATCTAGTCGCCCCTCCTTTTGAGGCTGTTCACGTTCCCATCGCTCTTTTCTTGGGTCCTGCCAGTCCTTAGCGGGTCTGTCACTCCGCAACGTCGTACGCCCTATTCTCTAGGGTGCCTCCTTTGCGACCATGACACCAACTTCCTGCTTGCCTTGTCGCCTTTCCGAGTCACTGGACAAGCGCTTTCGCACGCATCAATTGCACGCTGTCCACGCTGGGTTCTGTGGCATTAGAGTTTCTTGTCACATGATTGCCATCGCTCCTGAATGCAAGTCTGTTTCGCGTGATTGATGGAAGAAGTGAGGTGTGATCCTGGCAAGGAGGAACTCCGATGGCAGCATAATTAGCGCCACCAGGACTTTGGTATCCCGAAGCTGACGTCAGCTGCATCCGCAGAGCAATTTTGGTGTCGCTCAGCATAAGTTCAAAGTCTGCAAGACGTATGTCGAGTAGATTTTGTTGGCCACGTTCAGGACTGTACCTCAATCCAGCAATTGCTAGATAGATGACGTCGGCATATGCTGAGCATGTATCCATTCTACTGCAGTGAGCGCGGCGGGCCTGGGCTATCTCTCCTTCTACCTGGCGGGCAAGCTCCACGTGGGCGACCGGCGGGGCCACGTCAGCAAGCTGGTGGTGGTCCTACTCCCGTCCATTGCTGCCATCTTCGTTGGCTACACCCGGTTTTGCAACTACAAGCACCATCCGACGGATATCATCATGGGATTGCTCGTGGGTAAGGAACAGAGTCATTCAGGAGTTGCTGGTGACGATTCAAGACGTCCTCCCCTTACTTGAGGCAGCTCTGGTTTCGAATCGTTCCACACCTTGCTAGAATAGCCTGCTGGCTCGTAGCCCGAGACCAGTTCACAACTATCGCAGCTCTCTCTCCGCATATTTCAGGGCGTTGCTGCACCTTCTTCACGACCATTTTCAGGCGTGTACTCTCGTGCTACGAGATCCTGACGTGAGTAAACATTTTGCAGGTTTCTTCTTTGCGTACTTCGTGTACCGCCAACACTACCCCAGGTTCTCAGATCCCGAAAGTGAGTGTCCCACACATTACTGGTCTTTTTTTCGGTTGGTGTTTCTGCCACCAGAAGTCTCCGATCACTGCCACTCAGCGGTAGGGATCTGTTCCCGGGCTGACAGCTTCGCATGGTCTGCGAAGCGGACAATATGACGGCCAACACGACTGGTGCATCGGGTTTTGTGTCCGAAGCAGCCCCCGTTTCTTGGGCTCCTAAGAGGACTGTGAGCTTTCAGTGATGCAGTGCATCTGCGGTCTACCCTCCCGTAGAGCTTCTCAAGAATTCAACTTTCAGATTCTGACCCTGCGAGTCCGTTCGCCAATGTCCAAATTGTTGTGTGCACAGGGAGACCTGTCTGCTAAGAATACAGAGAAGGATGGGCTGTATTAAGAACAGCTTCTTGACTTCAGCGTCATATCGTCCCGCACGACTTAAGCTGACGATGCACCTTGAAACCCGCTTGCACCCTTTTATTAACCCGTCCGTTAGCCTATCTTTTGCCCGGCCCTTGATCCCCTTCGTTCGTGCCGCTTTCCAGGCCACCTGCCTTACGAGTTTTCGCGAAAGCGCGTTGTTCGTCAAGACATTCCGTTGCAAGATAGGCCGTCCACTGAGCGTCCGTATGGGGCTGACGTTGTTTAGATTCCGGTACGTTCGTTCTTAGACTTTGTTAGTGTCGTTCAAGGATTTCTTAGCAGCACGCATTTCACAGTGAAGTCACAAATCAGTCGGTTGTTCATTTCGTTCGTAGATTTGAGCGTCGATCGTCAGTCTTAGAGGCTTTGGGGAAGCTTCAAGATTGTTCAGGATCAGGGTTTTGAAACGACACGCTGCAAAAACCATCGAGGCTAGGCGTAGCGAGGCAGGTTATGGGTAGGTCACACCAGCGAAGCAGGGCCCCTTAGGCTACTACTTAATGTCAAAAGGGGTCCTTTCGTGTAGCTCAACTAATGAATTAGTTCCAGGATTGGACTCCAGATGCGTTAATCGTGATCATAGGGTTTGAGGCTTAAGCGAAGACAGCTGTAATCATAGCAAGAAGCATTCTTTGCCGTTTGGAAGCCGTGCGTTGCCGAGTCTGCAGTGCCATCATAGTTCGCTCGGTCTTAAAGTTGAATCGACTTCGTCCCTTAGGTTCTTTCTTGAAAGTTGCACATCTGATCGGTCAGATGCACCAGGACGCTTCATTGGGCCGCTTTGTCAACTAGTAGTGGAAGTTGAAGTCAGGGTCCGTCGGACTGACCTTTGCATCGCAAATTGGACGTGTGCTTGATCGTCTCGAGATGTCTTGGCTCTCAAACGGTGCGCATCCAAGATTCGTCTCTTGTGAATCCGCCGGGTCTGCTTCTCAGTGAGTACGGAACGAAAGAGCTGAAGTCAACCGGGCAGGTTGAGAGCCTTGTGTCGGCTATGGGCCGGTGGGCGCCCACTGAGCTAGCTGCCGAGCTGGCAGTTCAGGAGTGCCTGTCGGAATTGGTCATTTGAAAAGTGCAGCGTGTTGACTGTTTGTTACTTCGTTGCTTGTGCTTCTGTCAGTGCGCATGGTGGCAAACCGCGCAGCTGGAGGGACTGTTGAAAAGAGTTATTAGGTTCATCTTCCCCAAGCTGCTCATGCACTCAATTGAGAGACAAGGCTGCCCTTGGTTTTCGATAAGGGCCATTTAGGATATTGGTCGTTCGACCGCTTAGACCTGCTAAAGCGGACTTGATATGACATGACAGAGTCGAGTCCGTTTATTGGCCCTCTTGCTAAACAAAGATATGCTAATTGAAACGGTTGGTCTTTGACCAATTTACCCCGTGATTCAGAAGAAGGTCTGCATGTAATTAGACTTTGTTCCTGCAGTGCGGTGCTCACGTTTGTGATCAATCTAGCAGGCTCGCAATTATAATCGACCTAGCTCATCAGTTTCGAGCTAGATTTCCTTCGTTCCAATTCCTGCAAGCGCAACCCCACGAGCATTGACTGCTGAATCTAAGCACGTTTGATAGTCGAGAATATTGTCACGAACCGTACAGCCTGACAGGCAAGGACTATGCATCCGACGTACGGTGGCCACCCTGCAAAAGGCCGCAGCGTAGCCGCGCCATATGCACTTGTATCGTAGATCCTATTTTCTGATGTCTAGTCGGTGTGCGCGCACAATTGAATAAGCTGCAACTTAGGTGCCATTGACCTTATCTTTATAAGAATCGTTCTTTCCATCCTACGGACGTTCCGACAAATTAGACCTTGCATGGGAAAGTTTACTAATTTGTCTGTCTCAGATGCACGTTCTTTTTGACGATGGACAGAACCGCCATATGAGCAATAAGCAACTCGAGAGCCCACCATCTGTCTGCCGCAGTAAGTAGTCTCTGTAGCTTTTCTTGGGCTGTTCGTTGTATGGGCATATGGTTGCTTTCAGACAAAAGCGCGCCATGGCCGGGAAGCTGCTTTCGCCCAGGAGCGAACTCAGCGCGTAGCGTGAAATATTGGAGGCCGCCTACCTCCTTAAGATGTGAATGAGCGCCCACGCGCAAATTTACTTGTTGATTCACTATTGGGCCCTGCCTCCAGTGATGCGGTTGGGTCCATAAAAGGCGGATATTGAGTTGGCTCAGATGGCTCAAGATCTGGTCCTTTGCGCGTGTGCGCCAAAACAGTTTTGGTTCTTGAGTCTGTCCGGCTGACTTTCCTTCACCGGCTTGCACTGCTAGTCGCAAAAACGCACAAGGATTCCAAGGATTAGTCACCACTTTCAACCCCGAAACGGGAAGCACGCCGGCCCGTCTCATGCAGAGCGAAACGAGCTCGCGTGTTTCGAATTTTGAGCGGTGACTGAGGAAGGAAAAAGGAAGGTCTTGATGGATCCGACTGAGGAAGGGCCAACTGTATATCGAGAAGCTGGGGGCCCGGCATACCAGCGTCCAACTTAGAACATGAAACTGACTTTGTTTTGGCGGCTTTTTGTCTGCTTTAAGTGCTTTCGAGCCGGCAAGGGCGAGACAACGTGCTTCATGACGGGCATTGGTCAGAGTGCATGTGGACTCGGAGCCAAAAGAAAAGTACCAAGAAGTTTCCTCTTTTTCCTTTCCGTTGTTGATGCTTCGCTGTGCCCACTTCTTGGTGGGCAGATCATTCTGCAATTTTCATGGCCCTGTTTGTATTCAACTCAGGAGTTGAGCTTGAAAGCTCTTTCCACCCTACCATCTGCGTGTAAGTATAATTCATAAAGAAGACACAAGTCTTAGTCAAGGAGATAAATTGAATCACTTACGTACGCCACTTATGAAAAGATAGGTCTGCGCATGCAACTTGGTTGGATGTGCCACTTGACGTGTGCGCGTATCAAGGAAAGCGCTGATTGATCTCGTTTTTGATCATGTCAGGAACCGTAGCGTTGCCCACATCACGTGTTAGAATTGACGTCTACCCAGATTTGATGTTTACCTAGACTCATCTGTATAGCTGGTGAGACCGAACTGTATCGTGCTCTTGTTAAGCTAGGATTGGGCTCTAAGGCGTGTTGCGGCTGTGCGGCATGCTTCTCCTGCCGCTTCATCCCTACGCAAGACTTGTGAGCACTGCGTGGTCATACGTATACATCCAATCATCCTCCTCGGCGCTCCTCATGAACTGTGTGGCTCGTGGAGGTGGAGGTTGATCCAATGGCCGGAGCACCGTAGACTGGCTCCAACTGCAGGTCAATAGGTCAAAGGATAGGTCAGACTTTGCCAGAGGCCTGCGGCTTTTCCTCGCATATCTAAGTTGCAAGAACCTGACCCATCGTATAGGAGTCGACGGCCAAGACACAGGCCCTCAACATAGGTGGAGCCGATACAAGGAGGCACTGAACGTTCCCTCAACCGAAGCGTTATAGCTAGCGAGATGCGGACCTTAGAAAGGTGTCTCAAGTCCGAAGATCCAATTGGAAGAAAGTTAGAAGAAGACGTAGTATATAATCAGAGCTCAGATATCCCCAGTTGCGGAGCGATGCATATAGCTGGTATGGACATCTTCTTGCGTAACCATTGCAATCGAAGGTCTGGGCGCCTGGTGTCAAACCCGAGAGTCTGCTCTAGAGTCGCAGATAGTCGGGCAAATGGGGCTCCCGAAAACATGGAGGTGGAGGTGGAAAGGTCTGCCTGAATGCTTCAACCCCACACAGGCGAAAAAAAACGCAGGTAAACTTGGACGGGTTGATTGCGGTGTGCAGAGAGCAGGGTTCGGCGGAAGCGCTAACCTTTGGAGGGTTTTCGTTCTCGGTATCCGTCTGGACTCGTACTCTTTCAACACGGAAACAACAGCTGACCGATCGCCCAACACTTTCGGCCCTCCAGCGGCCGCTAGCAACTGCAAACACGTCGACGCACCAGGATTGTGGGTCTTACAACCGCTGTGACTTTGTTCACGATTGCTTACTTTCTTCACGATTGCTAAAGCTGAGGCATAGCAGTGAGGAAGTGACAATTGAGGAATTGTGGCACTCACATGCGACTTTGAGCTGGCTTGGCCAACGACCATTGTTCATATCGATATTGTTATTGTTATTGTTAATGTAATTGTGACTGTGACGAAGAGTTGTCAAAAGACGAGGGATGAACGTGGATGACAATTTCAGCGCCAATAGGTTCACCGATTAAAGGATTCATCTTAGAATCTGTTTGATTGAGGCCCGTTCTTCGTATCCCAGCAGCATGTACGCCAGCTCCAGAGAATGTGGAGGAGTGGAGGGATCCCTCTCAGCAAGCGCAAGGATCGCCCAGCGCCTCATCTACATTCCCGCTTTTCGGCTGTGTCCCAGCACAAAGTGTTCCAGTGTTGGCCAGTTTGCATCTTTGCCGAAGCGTAGCGTAAAACAGAACACAGGACTCAAAGGGTCTTTACAAACAAAGCGGGTGTTGTGGTATTTGAGCGATTGCCGCGCTGCCGTCGCCGCACAAACACCGAGGGTGTTGTTTTGAAGTTGCCGACCTCGTACGGCAATACATCAGCACGGGGAAATTTGGCTGCCAACCAGGCGGGTTACCGGACGGAGTCTCAGATTACCAAACAAATAACCCGGCTTTAAACTTGTTCCGGGGCTGGTTACCGCCCAAGTCTGTTTATTGGACACATAATCACTTTTTAACCAGCCCATATGCAGCTCATAACCAACCATAGTTAAGGGCCAAAAACTCCTGTGTAGCAAAAACACCGAGGTGTTCCAATCTCCACCATGCTCTGGAGCTTTGTGAAGAAGTAAACTTTTACGATGACAATCTGACCGTTGCACGGGGCCACTTTTCCGTGCGGAAGGTAACCCCCAGAGTGACTGGGGGAATTTGAGCATAACAACACCTTCGGATCTTGGCGAGATGAGGAAAACAACACCCGCTCTGTGTGCAAAGACCTAAGTCAGATCTGGCAAGCAAAATTCCATTCAAACACCTGTTCAATGCAGCGGGCAAAAGCTGCTCGCCATAGTGTACTCGTACGTTCTCATATATAGGTGAGTTGCGGTGTGGGGCGCTTCTCACCTCTTATCACATCGTGTAACTTGCATCACGAGTTGTGACGTTGATCAATGATCAATGTTCAACGATCAACGTTGATCAATGTGTCCTCAAATCCGCTGGAGTTTGCGCATTCGGACGTACACCTGTCACGCTCTCTTACCTCTGCTAGCGTATGCACGTCCTCAAAGGTAGAGTTCGTCCCCTGCCCCAGCCAGGGCTGCATCGCATGCGCCGCATCGCCGACAAGTGTCACCCTCCCACCGCTCCACGTGTCAGCAGGGGAGCGCTCGAAGATCCCGAGCGGCAACACACGCGCGCTGTCTGTTGCATCTAAGACTCTGTGCAGCAGAGGGGCCTCCCAGTCCGAGAAGAGGCTTCGGACGCGATCCAGATGAGCAGCACCGTCCGAAAGCTTGGGTGTTTCGGACGGGTCCTCTGCCTGAAGCACGAAGGCGACCCACGCCGTCTTCCGCGCCTGCAAGTCAACGAGACGTGCTCTGGTTTGATGTGATGCTTTAGATAGAGGGTGCTTCTGGTCAGATTGTCCCAATACTCTACACTTTATCACTCTTTGCAGTTTGAGCACACAACGCTTCTACCAAATCAATGCCTTTGACAGAGCCGGGGCTTCCTCATTTCGTCCACATCGAAAGCAGTTGCAACCCAGTTGCAAGAGCTGCTGCTGGAAACTCTCGCTTGCTGACCAACTTTACTTGTCCTGCTGAAGCTCGAGTGAGCAGACACTCCGAACACAGTGGCAGTCCTCAACAAAGGAGACGGATTTTACACGATGCGCCACCGTCTCAGGCCGAACCTTGCCTTTTGAGCTCAAGAGTGAGCCCATCTTTCTCTACTGGAAAGCTAAACTCTACTCTGAATTTCCGCGGAAAGTCGCGGCGACCAGACTGCGATTAAGTCAGAAGGGTGTCGATGCGAAAGAATGCTATGTCCCGACCGAGGTTGTTTCTCTGCTTTTTGGTTGACGAAAGAGGGAACGGCGGACCTGAATATCCACAGCGAGAAAGAGCTTGTCCGGCCCGCCTTTGTCGGTGCCACTTGTGACCGAAGCTTGGCGGCTGGGGGTCAGGATGTCTGCATCCGAGTCAAACACCCCACGCCAGCTCATGATGCCTGCAGCGGAAGGGAAACGATGCAGGGGTTGAGAAAAGGTGTCGGAAAAGATTCGCCTCAAGCAGGCCAAAAGAGAGGCAGGTCCGGCGCATTGTTTTGTTGCAAAGGAAACGGCACAGAGACGGGAGGTTTGGAGAACTCCGAACTTCATCCCACTGATTGAGCACACACGTGTCTGTTGTTAGTGCGTGCAAGGAACTGATCCTGACGACGGTCGGCCCCGTGAGCAGGCGTTCACTGTACAGCTGGCTAGAAGGTTCGCATTGCAGGCAACAGAAGATGCAGCTCAATGCTGCAAGAAACTTTTGCTGTCTCCTAGTACCTAACCTGTGCCCCAAAATCGGCTTTCGGAGGTTGGACGAGGTTCGACTTCCGTGGGGCGCCGTTCCGATCAACGTTGCTCGCATGAACCAGGCTAGCATCTTCTCTACTATGGTCACTGTCACCTTTTGCACTGAAAGCTGATGCAGCAGAGTGTATTCCCACTCCCTGTCACCACCGGAGCTCACCTGTGTAAGTCGGGGGCCCATCGGAGAGCAGCATACTTCGGACCACAGAGCGCACCCCGTCTGCACCGATGACCATGCGCGCTTTCACGGTCGCTTGGTTCTCAAACTCCACAGCAACATGCGCGCCGGCGTCTTCAAACCCCACGCAGCGGTGGCCTAGATGAACAGTCCCTGGAGGTAACCTCGAGCGGAGAACGTCCTATGATAGAATGAGGTCTTCTCAAAGGGAGTTCTGCTGACATGATCTGGCAGGCCGCACTCTGGCTGCGGGCTGAAGGAGTTCCGAGATTGCCCAAGATTCATGTTCGTTGCACACACTGGTCGTCTCTGAGAAGCATCAAAGGGGAGGTCTTGCTTTCAAAGCAACTGCTGTCAGCCCTCTGACCTACCGTCAGTTCGTACCATATAATGTTGACAAAGGGGTGTCCGTACTTGCCCTCCATGGCACTAAAGGGGTGCGGGCCGGGCGGACCGAGAAGGGTGCCTCGGGGATCCATTCTGACACTCCTGCAGGAGCCATGGACAAGTTTGAAGTCAGACAGGCACCACGCTTAGGGTGCTTCGCAAGCTGAGGCCGCCGCTTTTTGCAGGCTGGCAAGGGCATCACACATTGGTACAGCTCCCTTCGTTGAAAATTAGTTGTGAGTGTGCTCCAGGAACGGTTGCTAGCGCTCTGTGGAACTCTACACTGTACACAGTGCGAAGCTCTCTTCGGAATGTGTAGATCATGCTGCATGTCAGAAACCATGTGAAAGTTGACACAACCTCACGGCAAATGGCAGTCAGCAATGATGGTGAAGCTGGCTTAAGTACTGCCTGTACTTGCAAAAGACGTTGGAAGTCTAGAGCAGATCAAGGTGGAACAGAACGACTCGACTTGACTTGAATCACAGAGACTGGCAAGAATTGCAAAAGTCGTAGCCAGCAACCTGAGCCAAGATGCTCACGAGGAAGGAGGCTCCGCTTTTCCAAGCACTGCTTCGTAGGTGGTTGGGTCGATCTTGTGAAGGGCCTCCAAGCCGTTTGGAAACAGCGAGAGGAGTGCCCCAACCTGTTGGACGGCCTTACTCCTTTCGTACACACGAACTGTTAAGCCCTGGGGGAAGCAAGAAACAGTTTCAGGAGCAGTCTTCTTGGTATCCTTAGCAGGTTGAAGGCATATGGCATACTGTGGTCTAAGGAAAAGGAGGCACTAACGTGGAGCTCTGAGCAAGAGCCTGACAGGTATGAGCATCCGGAGACAACCAAAGAAGTTGAAATAGAGGATGTTTTGTGGTCCTCCTGCGATGTTTTCTGCTGCGATGTTTTTTGCTGCAATGTTTTATGCTGTAAGTGTTCTCCCAGCTCTGCCCCAGAACTGTCGGTCTACTGTTCAAGCTTTCTACTTTCAAGCGTCACTCGGTTATGCTTGAAAACTTGACCGCGCCAAAAGCTCTATGCCAGCTTCCACACGTGAGCAATGACTCCTGTCACTCAAACAATCTCGTATCCAAGTAAAGGAACTACCTTAAGAGTGACTCTGTAGAAGACAAAGAAGGTGCTGATACAGTTAGTAGTCAGTCTGACACGCATCGCACCTTTGCAATAAGGGCAAATGCTGCTGCTAGCCCTCCTGGCCCCCCCCCAATCACTGCAACATCCACCTCTGCATCGTCCCCCCCTCTACTCATGCTGCATTTTGTGTTTCTCCCCTTGATCCTACCCTGTCTGGGAAGGAGTCTGGCGCTCCCCCCCCTGTGATGAGGTAACCCCCTCTTGCATCCTAAATTTGTGAGGCTGACAGAAGGCCCTAAACGAGCGCTGCAAGTAGCTGCGTGCATCTTGCGGCGAAGGCCTCTCAGATGCTCAACTAGATCAAGGTAATAACTGTTCAGCCCTTGCAACAGCACAGCTTCTTCTGTCCTACTACTGATGTTGCAGTCTTTTTGCTTTCGTTGCAGTACCACTCAGAGTCACAGCGGAGCTTTACATTGATGGTTGACCCATGCGCCTCTCCAGACAGGTTTCCTGCTAGTGCATAATGCAGATAATTTGTGTAAGAATGTTGAAATGACTGGCTAGCTAGCTGCCATGGCCTGCATGACTCCTGAGGCTGCATTGTCCGCGGCCCGGCGCCGCGCAACATGGCCGCGGCGTGCCGCGGATCCGAGTCTGCTACGCGCTACTACTAGGTACGCGGTACGCGTCAAGCCTAAACCCTGAAATCCCAAACCCTGGAGAATGTATCCACTGCTCAGCTCCGAGCGCTAGTCGCGAGTCGCACGGCGCTGGCACAACGCCGGCCGGCGCGCGCCTGGCCGGCCCAGGGCTGCAGTGCGGCGGTAAAAGAAGGGGTTTCGCAGGCAGGAAGATGTCCCGGCGAGCGAGGCTTTGCTCAAGCCCCCTATCGCATCCCCTTCTGAAACCCCTGCGGATGAGCCCACAACGCAGAACGTGCCCCCCCCCAAGCGAACCAGAGAGCATCATCGACACTTCCCTCCGCGCCCGGTCCGCACGCAAGCGGGGGGCGCCGAACGGCTCTGGTGCAGCCCCCCAGAAGCACGACACGACGACCTCGTCCAAGGGGGCGGAGCAGCCCAGTAGACGGTCACTTTGGAATCTCGGAACGGGGGGCTGGTTTGGCAGAGGCGACGACTTTGATAGCTCAGAGTCGAGATGGGTACTGCTCCTGTAGAGTCTTTCGGAAAGAAGCATTTAACTCTTGCCATAAAGAATAGCTCGTTGCATGAGCGGGGAGGGGTCAAAACCATGCGGGGACGGTGCAGAGAAGCCTGCCTTTGAAAGTATCAAACTACGTAAGCTGATCAAGCTCGAAAAGATGTCGTCTTGTTCAGCTCAGCATTGCGCAGTTCTGCTCATGAGAGAGCTTTCTGAACGTTGACGTCACTTCAGCGCCCCTTAATCAGCGCACAGGTGCAAGAGCGAAAGACGTATTTGCCCCTGCTTCGGCCTAGCTAGAATGGGCGAGCGCAGGCGTGGGGCCTTGAGACTCTCTCGATTGTTGATTGACGTATATCTGCTCGTCGTGATCGTTAAGTTGCCGGGGCAAAGAGAATTTGAACATCTGGCAAGAACTTACTTGCCAGGCAGGTTAGGAGTGTGTTAGATCGCGAGCCTTGTGGTATCAAAATTTTCACGGGTTTTTTTCCTAGCGGGTTCTTCGAATCCTTGACTTGATTCTAGAGGCCCCGTTTTCACTCTTTCAGCAGCTTCACGCCTATGTCGCGTTCAGAACCCACTTTTGCGTCTCGAAGGGGCGGGGTCTTTTCCAAGTGTGCTCTGCCAAGAAGCTGTGGCAAGGAAGAAAGATTATGACGATTGCACGCTAGTCACCATTTCCTGGCGCTTTTCGAAGTCACATATGAGATCCCGTGGAGAACTCGTTATCTGCTGCCTTCTTTTCGAATGGCAATTTTGGGCCCTCAGTCTGCAATCGATTCCGGATACGCTTTGTCTGGGTTCGCTATTCTTCAGCTTCAGCCCTTTTTTTCGCACTTTCCTACCATATATTTGGATTCATTCGAGCTCTTATAATGCCAGGTCTAAGGAAAACTTTTGGGGTGAGGGCCTTGCGTCACGTGCGTTTTGGCAAGAAACGAAACGGTTCTTCGTCGAGTCTTTTGAGATGGGCAGTCAGCCGATTGCCGTGCTTTGGCCAAGGCTTCCCTGTCGTTCTGTTTCCAAAATTTGTCGAGCCGTGCAGACCGGAGGTCCGTAAAGTCGTACGTGCTGAATAATTGGTGAGGTGGATGAAATCACCAGCTGGCCACAAAGCCGGTCATCTTGGTGTTGAGTATTCTTGAAAGCCGCAGAGGTTTTCTTATGGAAAGCCCTTGGACCTACGCCAAAACAAAACATGTAGCTGTTCGACCGTGGCGTTGGAAGCATGAGCTGTTGAACGCAATGGCGTTTGTTTGTGACCAATACGGGGACCGGCCGGGCACATCTATTCGCTTCTTTAGAGTTCGTAGGAAGTCTCGAACAAGCTCGCCGCATCTACAGAAACGTTCTGCACGTAACCCTGCAAAAGTGAGAGAGGCTTCAAGGTTTCTTGAGGCCCTGATTGAGATATGGGAGTAATCCAGACCTGGGCGGGTTCTTTAGCCCCTTTTTCTTGGTCGATACATAACTGCACTTCATCAAAGAGATCATTGCGGGCCAATGAACGTGCGAATGGGTGGCAAGGTTCTGACCTGCCACACTTGTGTCGCAATCACGCTTGAGGCTCAAAAACTCGACCTTTCTGTGGTACTTCCCACTAGCTCACAACGCGGCGCTCAATACTTGGTGTGTCTGCGGTGTTATTTAACGTCTTCCTTTTTGGGCGCTGCTGGTTTCATTTTGATCTGTCACTTCAGAAGCTGAGCGTTCAGTTTGATAGCCACAAAACTCGGCGGCTCTGCACCAGCGCGCCTCGTCGCTTGCCCTGGCCATTAACTTGCTCAGACATTGCGGCAAGTTGCCGCTATGATGGTTTTAACGGAGAACCACCTGGCGGTAGCCTATTGTGTTGTTAGTCAGTATACGGACGCCACAGTTTTGGCCCATTTTTGCTCTTTTGGTGCCCACTTTCAGTAGTCAATAGTGTGTGCTTGGACGAGCAGCTGCGTACCTCTCATGCATGTCCTTTATCTGTGACGCGCCTTGTGGAAGAAGCGCGCCTTTCTCCGCCCTCATGTATGCGCGCGCGCAAGTTCAGACTCCTGTAGCTAATTCATTCCTTGTCACGGACGGTCCAGCTCGCTAAAAAGAAGCTCATGCAAGAATCATTCGGGATCAGTCTCAACCTGGCTGCTTTGATGAGTGGGAGCTGCTAAAGGCCCTCCACTAAACAAAATCCGCCGTCTTCCCTCTGTGATATCGAGATCGGTTTTTGCGCGGCCTAAAGCTGCTCCGTTTCAACGTATCCGCGCAAGTTTTCTCGCGTTTCTCGGAACGATCAAAGCCGGATTGAACATTGTGCGATCCTCACCGTCCAAATTTCTCAATCACGTACCGTTCTGTTGGCGCTGGACGTGATCACCGGTGCGCAAGTTTCAAAGCTCCTTTAGTATTCCAATTTCGCACTCGAGTATGGACGGTAAACTTTTCCAGCGTTAACGAGACATCTTCGGCGTGAGTACACGCTGGTCAGATATTCTTGGCTGGATAAAGAAGTATGTTTTCTGTAGTCCGGTCTTCGGGCCTTCGTGTGTTGCGTCACATTCTTCGATCCAAGACCGTCCTTATTATATCATGTTGGCATGAGCAGAGGGCCGGAGTTATGGCTACAGAAGTCTGGAGGAAGCATGTATCTTGTCGACTTGAAAAGCGGGTGGCTATGACGAGCCCGTACGGATCCTGGCAACTTTCTGTTGCCATCTTGTTTTCCAGTTCAATGCGCGAAGCCACGTCACCACCGCTCAATATTGTCTGCTTCAAGCGGCAACACAGCAGCAGTCGAAGCTTTGATTGACTAAAGTCGAAGATGGAAAAAGCGTCTTGGATTATTGCTGAGTGCTCCTGAAGAATCCTGAGATGCCGATCAAGGTGGACAAAATCCTCAGCACGATGCATGCATGAAGCCGCCAACGGGCTGAAGACTTGTTCTTCCATCATAAAGACAGTGTGTCAGCGAATGCTGAATGATTTTTTGCTGTATGCTTTCGAGACTGTGCTCTGCGGTCGCAAATGGAGTTGTCGAAATAAACGAAGATCGATGCCACGTCGCTCCGTCGTAAGGATTCAATACGAGGCCGCTCGATCTCGGGACCGCCACTAACCAGATTGAATCTAAAACCCTCAAGCGGTGAAGGGACTGAAAGTCTCTGATTCTGCATTTAGTTGACTGGAGAGATTTCTGACTCGTTACATAAGCTGTGGCTGGGACGGGAAGCCTTGAAAGATCACGTTCTGGACGTAACGTGATCGACACACTGGTACTGGTTCAAGGCGGGCTGAAGCCGCGTAAAATTCAAGTTCTTGACAGGCGCACCTCCCCGGCCGGCAAGATGTTTGCAAGTCAGCTCACAATCTGGGGTATGAAATGGGGCACCACTTTCTTCCCAGTGGGCTTGCTTGCTGCGTACAGCCTGCAGTCGCACTATTATCAACACTGCTTCAGCGTAGAAGCTTTGATGTTCAGAGCAACCAACAGTGCTTCCAACGATGATCTGTCTGCATCTGCTGCTTTTTACATACCAAATCGCTGAAGGGCCTGCAGCACATTAATCGCCTCGGGTTGAATTACGCTCAAAATTCGGCGATTGCCTAGCTCAGGAGGTGTCGATATATCGGCGCGCCTTTTTACTCAACCGGGGCCCTCAACCTTCCTGGTTGGCCGTTCTACCAGACAAGCCGGGCGAGAAGTTGGATATAGCGACGTGTACCCAGATGCTTGCTAGGCGTCTCCAGTCGGGGCGTGGCATCTTCTGAAGCCCTCTCTCCCCTGACCGTACTGTTAACAGCTGACGAGCTTTCAAATCAGCTTCAAAGCAGGAAACCGTCCAACTCGGAACGGGCCATATCCAAGGATTTCCCATGTTTTGCTGACGTCGATCCACTGGTGCATGAAGTAAGTCTTCCCAAAAATGCACATGGACTTGGGAGACTTCTTCTCCCTTTTTGGGCAGGCTGTCATCGAGCTTGAATGGAAGGATCGTCTTTGCTTGAATAGCACGGAAAGTAGCTAATAGAAACGTGGCGGTTCGGTGCCAGCTCTTTCTTGTCCTGGGGCTGTGAAACTGCTCGCGCTTGTATTGCAGGACCAAGCAGTCGGAGCCTGTTCGCACAGGTCTTCCACGCCCTTCTCGAATCATAATTGAAAGTATTTTGACATTCGACCGATTCATTCAGGATCGTAACCGTCTGCATGAGATAAAATTGGGCGTCTTGTCGGCATCAATTAGAGGTTTCCACACTTTGGCGGCTTCCGAGTGTGGCAAGGACGAGAAGAGTGAAGCCTGGCAACGCCATTGAGCCAGACGGGCGCTTCGGCGATTCTGAAGCTACAATTCGTACGACTTCAAAGTTCAAGAGCCAGTATTTGGGTTCCGAACTGTCTACTTAGTTTCAAAAAACCTTTCGAGTTTAGGCGAGCATTTCCTCTAGTCGTCACTCGTGTTAGTTTATTGCTTGATAGAAGTTGGACATTTAGTTGAAAGCCTCTTTGCAGCGATTGTTGTCACTGTGTTACATTCACTGCGGCATCTAGAACGGAGTACCGTCAACGTTGGAACCACGCAAGAATCAGAAACGTTTAGGCTCAGGATCCGTGGCAATCTGTCTGCATGACGATTCTGATCAGCGCAATCTGGGGCTCCCGTTTGAAGATGTCGACTGATAGCTGGGCAACTCCACAATAACTCGCCGTTTAAATTGAAAGTTTGGTAGGTGAACGATGACACGCGCGTATGCGCAGGTGGGTTCGGGCCTTGCCAACTAGTACGCTTCTCGTTTTGAAGAACAAGCCTTTAAGAAACATTTACAGCTAATGGAACTTCGGAAGTGATCTGACCCTCGACTCCTAATTCGCCGTCCTTTCAACAAATCTTCTCCGGAAAAAGTGCTGTCGAACTCTTTGAACCAGCACAACCTGACGTCGCTGGTTTACAGCTACTTATTGGACGTGCTTATAAGGGGCTTTTCATGCCGTGAGCGGCAAGGACGAGCGCGTTAGGATATTCGCTAATTGGCACGGCCCATTGTTTTCAGCGCCGCTGCACCGGAAGTCCCGAGCCACCGTTTTAAGAAACCGGGCACTGTTTTTTGTATCCAAACATCCGACTCATCCTTACTTTCTCGTTTGGCTCATGTACCGTATGACTTGAGTGCAGTTGTCGCTCTGCTAACGCCTTGCGCTCTATGCCCAAGGCTGTTCTTAGCGCGCCAGCATGCCGGGCCAGGTATGCGCACGGCTTTTCACCATAAGGCGGCAACGTTTCACTCCTTCGTACTACAATTTTATTATGTGGTCTGCCTTGTTTAGAATATTTTGGCAGCGGATAGCCGTTCGGCGAACCAATGCAGGACCAATAAATCCACTGAACTCCTCACTTGGATTGAACGGGGGACTAATTAACGGGGGACGTTTCGGGTTGAAAAATCAAGCGCTCTTGGAGAATGTGGGCGGCCGCCCAGACGTGCAATGTTCCCGGCAGGCGAACTTGGTCATGAACATCTGCCTTCATCAGAATGGCAAAGGAGAACGATTGATATTCTGCTGCACAATCATGGGCTTGGTCTTTGCTTGTGAATGAGGGGCCTCTTAAGCCATGCCGCGGATCGATATCTAACGCCTGTGTTTAGAGCACTAGTGATCGCGAGGGTGGTAGCGAGCTCGCGTCAAGAT